AGCATTTCAAGCACATGAGAATCAAAAGACATTTGATTGATTTTCGGTGCACAGATAAGAACAGTTTTTTTTTTTTGTTCATGGCCTGGATTTGTGAAAAGGAAAAGTTATTGCCTTGTTATTCGCTAATATTAAGAGAGTTTCCTGAGTCGAAACCGTACTACCATACATCAAATAACCCTTCTTCTCCATTGTGCGTGGTCGGTCGGACTTGCGAGGCCCAAGTTACCGATAAATTAGTTTTCCGAGGTGCCCTCATACGCATGTCACGGCAAGAAAAACAGTTTGTCTTTTATTTGTGTTGCGATTCCGACCAACAAGAAGAAGACGTGACCGGTATGAACGTCTCTCTGAAAAAGATTCGTTATGAAAAGGAGGAATTTTCCCCTCAAGTAGGCACAAGTTGCAGAAAACAACAGATGTGAATTTTCGGACATGTTCGCCTGGGAAGCAGACATTTTATGACGGCAATACGCTCGAGTGAACCCCACTGCTCAGGTGGCTCTCCATGCCCACGTGCCCACTTCCACCTGAGCAGCGCGATCGGCAGAAACAAAACGGGTGTCTTGGAACCATAGGGGGTCGCACACCACAAGGGGTGGGTTTTAGGGAGGAAAAAAAAAACACCCCCAGCATCGCACAGAGTCGGAATGCGAATGTAGCCTGAACGCCATGCGTGAAATAGCAGAAGAAGAAAACAATAGACATGGTATCTGAATGTTCCTGCACCAACGAATTATTTCTCCAACCAATGGGTAGACCACTTTGTAGACCACTGTGGGAGGTGGATATTAGAGTCCTTCTCTCGTATTCCACGATAAGAATGTCCAATCTCTTTGAATGTGATGGATATTGCCGTGTCAAAGCCTGAACGGACAAAGGTACAGAGTAAGCAGTGACAGTAACACCGGCACGCCCAGAAAAATGATGGTCTTCAACCCTTGTGGCGCAGGGCTCCCGATTGTCCATCTCTGATAGTCAGAACAGGCTTCGTAGGAGTCGCGGTGTCCAAGGCGCATTTGTCCCCGTGGGTGGTCGTGAATAGATGCCGGTGGATTTGCTCGTCTTGAATGGCGGTATGGACTTTTTGGGTTGGCGGGATCATCTCATGGTCAAGATTCCAGCCTGCACGTCGGGCCAACTCTGCTACGACAACGTCGCAGTCGCCGAGAAGGTCGATATCAAAGTCAATGTGGCCAACAGGCGTCCGCGAAATGTAGATGGCGGGAACGTGCGGCGGCAAGCTCGGCACCACCTCAGAGACGGGCGACACCTTCAGCGAGGTTCCAATGACAATGACCAGGTCGACCCGTGTCATGTCGCGCCTCAGTCGGTCGTGGAACTCATCGGGCAAGTTTTCTCTGAAAAAAGTAATGTCGGGCTTCATGATACCAGCCTCGGGTATGTCAAAGTCATCGTCCTCGTCCGTGTCGTCGGAATTGTACCGCGAGCGTCTTCCAGACGATGATCGCTTTTTGCCACGCTTGCGCTTCGATGTGCCACTGGCCCGCAGCGAGGTGATGCACCTGTCACATCGCGGAATCCTGCTGGCCTTGATATCGGCAAAGATGGCCTCGCCTGGGACCTTGTAGCCGCACTTTTGACATGTAGCCTTGGCAAACGAACCGTGGCACTGCAAGAGCTTCTCGGGCAGGATCCCGGCGTTGGCCTCAATGTTGTCGATATTCTGCGAGTAGTTGGTGAGCAGCTTGCCCTTGGCCTGGAGCATGGCAATAAAGGCGTGTGTGGGCGTAAACTTTTTGGTGGTGGGAAGAATGTCCTTGGCGACTGTGTAAAAGATGGTGGGATCTTGGCGAAAAACCTCAATGTCAAAGACCTCCTGCGGGTCGTTGATGGGCAGTCCCAGATTGGCCAGTTGTGTGTAGAGGCCGGTTTGCGCCGAACGGAAATCCGGAATGCCCAGCGAAGTCGAAATTCCCGCACCGGTCAAGACGATAATGTTCTTGGCGTCCTGGATGAGGGAGACGGCGTCGTCGACCGTGTTGTAGCTCATGAGCTTGGCCCGCTTGTTGAGCTCGCGCGTGATGGCCAGTGTCAGCAGCGAGTAATATTGATCATCATTAGCTCCCTCGAGAAAAGGTGGCGGCCGCACACCAAATGCCGTGAGGAGGCGTTTTGCTGTGATGCTATCATTGAACACGGTAAGTTTCATAAACTCGGCCGGGCCTTGCGAGCGCAGCAATTGCCGATACCTCATGGCCTCTTCGGGCGTGCAAGCCTCTGGATCTGCACGTAGGGTATTAGCAGGGGAGTGATGAATGACATGGGATTAAAAGTAAGTAAAGGGAAGAAGTTTTGCCAGGTGGTGGCGAGTCTCTAGGAATATACAATCATGGGTAGAAGCAAAGTAGAAAATCTGAAGAAGAGTGACTGGGTAAGTAGATAATTTACCATCTTTAAATGCCGTGTCATCCGAGAGGTCCTCAATTATGTCCTCGAAAAGCGACTCAGTTTCCCACGAGTCGTCGATGTCGTGCAAGCGTTGCTCGAGCTCCGTCAATTGCGGTTCTTGGTTGTGTAAAGCCTCCCTGAGACTGAGATGGCTGACTTGTTGATCGTCGTCTATGGCGACTTGCTCAATTCTGATCTGCACTTTCGGCTTCTTGGTGGTGGTTGTTGTTGTTGCTGCTGCTGTTGCTGTTGCCGCTGTCTTTCTGGTTCCAGATCCTTTGGGCCTACCACGGCCACGCTTGACAGGGACGGGCATCATGATGGGCCAAGCAGATTGATGAAAAGAAATGGGGAGAAGGAGAGAATGCGTGTGTGGTAATAGTAGTAGTAGTAGTAGTAGTAGTAGTAGTAGTAGTAGTAGTAGTAGTAGTAGTAGTAGTAGTAGTACTACTACTACGATGTAGGCGAGACTTCCGGTGTGACAGTCTAAGTTTGGGAGAGAGAGGGGCGAGAGAAGAAACCAAGAAGGGAAAAAAAAAAAAGCAATCGCAAGTGTGAAACTCGCGAGTACAATTGCAAACCTCGCAAATGCAGCAACGCTAATTATAAATTGGCGTCCAGTTGTGTTGGCCGGCGGCAAAGATGAAAAGATGTGGGTAACGCAAACGCTTGATAATAGAGATGTTGTTGCTGAGATGAGATGGAATGTATGTGTACCAAAGGGACCCAAGTCCGAATTAGTAGGTCGTTGAGTGTGAGTTGGTTGTGGTTTGGGAGCCGGAAGCGCGTTGCGTTGTGTTGCAAAGGACAGGGGAGGCAAAAACCCCGAGTAGGAAGGGGGGAGAGGAAATAATCAGGTGACTACTACTGATCGTGTCATCAAATTTATTCGCAAGATCTAGAACAGGTTGTGTGATGTTGTCAGAGGAAAAAAAAGGATGAATGGAATCCGTCCCCCTTCTTTAGAATAAAAAAAAACACGCGTTACAAGTTTTGAGTTTTTGGGGCGAGCTGGTCTTGGCAGACAAACCAATTAATCAATAAATGGGAATGGGGAACATCGAGCCAGAGTGACATGAATAGAGAGGAAGGAGGAAGAGCGAAACTCTGGGTGAGACCTGAAGGTGCAAACTAATAACCAGGTGCGATCGATTCTACCAGGTTCCTAATGAGAGAGAGAAAAAAAAAATTGACTCGACCTGCCAATAATTATGAATTCAGTTAGTACGGGCAATCTAGGTAAGTAGATAGATACCTAGGTAGATGGAGGCAGGCAGGTTAGAGACAGGCAAATTGCTTGGTAGAATGAATGCTCGCTTTGCTGGCTCTGTTTTCTCCCTTCTCTTCTTCTCTTTCTCTCCCTCCCTTTTCCGGGGCCCCGATCCACTTTACTCTGCAATATAGTTCAATGTTGCTTGTTTGGAAAATGGCGACGAAAGACCAGAAAACTCTGGGCCGCGGCACACCTTCTTGTCTCTTTCGGCTATCTGCTTTTTTTTATTGTTACTATCAGGGTAGCTGTGACAAGATGGACAAAGAATTCAATAAGATGCAATTATACAGATTATACTGCCGATTGACTTTTGTAAATTCCTTTTATTATAGACACGTCTGCCTATTTTTTTGCCCAACTTGGTCCGATCCGTAATAGAGGGAATGTAGGAATTGTTTTCGTCATTCACTTGATTAGTATTGCCTCTAATCTAGGCTGAATTTGCGGGCTGCCTAGTTCTGAATGTTAGGGGGTGACCCGAACCATTTACTTTTATGGCGCGAGCAGCCAATGTACAATATAGGCGTCAAGTCAATGTGGGAGGAAATGCACATCAAGGTGCAGGCTCTCTCTACTCTCGCTCTCGCTCTCGCTCTAGCAAGGTAGGTAGGTATCTTGGCCTAAGGGACACACTTGAAATCGAAAATAAAGGAATCCGATTTCCTTGCATTGTTTGTGTTCATGGGCGCTTCATTGTAGCAAACGTGCGCTTCAAAAAGAAAGGAAGTGCAAACTACATACAGTCCAGAAAGGTTGCAAGATGACAGAGAGAGGGGGGAAAAAATCCGCTCATATATCATGTAATCTCAGGCACATATGCATGGTATACACAAAAATTCACGGCATGTGTCTTTGCTACCATTCGCCGTTCCCGTGGGCTCCAGTTTTCAAAACCTTTGCAAAGCCCGTTCATGTGTTTGTGTGTGTGTGTGCGAGATCGCTGGCAATGCATCCCCGTCTCCATCCATTTTAGGCGCTGCAGGGAATAATAGACAACACAAAACCCACGTCGGGCCAAGACAACAACTCATCGTTAGAGAAGAGAATCCATCAACCTTTGGCCAAAGCGAGAAGAATAAAAAACTGAATGGAACAAAGTCGTCCGTTGTCACAAAGTTAACGAACTCAACAATGGTAAATGGTACGATAACAGCGATAGATACTCCAACGGTAGGTAGGACCGCCTGGGCACGGTAATAAATTAGCGGTAGCGGCAAATCTTGGACGAATCCCAGCATTAATTAGCTTGTTATCTTCTTTCTGGCAGCACGAACGATTGTAGTGAGAGAGTGTGTGAGCATCTCTCTATCAACAAGGTCTGCGCCCCTTTGAAACAATGCCTGCTTGGCCTGGGCGAATGACTTCAGTCTTGGAATGTATAGGTCAATACACAGTAGATATCTTCCAGCCAGGATTGTGAGGCAAAAAGTAATCAAGGCGTGTCTCTCTTTCTCCTGGGACGTCGATGGCAATTCTGTACACAGGGGGCCAATCTTGAAACTATCATCAATAGGCTATATCGGTACGTAATGCATTGATTGCAATGCCTGGGGGGGATCAACTAGAGAGAGTATGGCAGAGGTGGGACGCAGAAATCACCTTTAGTTGCGACTTGCTGTGCGTGTATAATTCAGTACTAATCGGGAATGCGACCTTGGCCAAGAATTTCCTCCGTGTGTAACTTCGCCAATCGTCATTTTTATCAAAACCGGTAAATATCAGTATATAAGATATAAATCCCTCCTAAGTTCGGCAGATCAACTACTCAATTTATCTTAAAGCTTCTCGTCATTATGAAAAATCGTCCCTGGGGCAAAGCGAATATACAATCACTGCAAGTATTAGTGCGGTAATGGCTTGTCACACTGTGAGACAAGGTCCGTAACGGAGTGAATACCACGCAAATAATGCTTCTTGTACCAAGCTCGTCGCAAAACCACCACATTGAGGTCTCTGCAATTTGGATTCAAACAAACAGCTATGCCAAACAAAAAAAAAAAAATTGACATAAAGAAACAAGAGTAGCCAGGTCACTGGAGGGAGGAATACTCGGGAACAGGCATGACTTCTTCAGACACACTAGATAGCGGGCGTAGATAGTGTAAAGATGTAAATATACCTAGTAGGTATATAAATAGTGCTGTGTTATTGACACTCTCGGATGGCTCATTTGTGTCTTGTTTCAGTAACGCAAGGACTACTTTTACAATTATATCTCCAGTCCGATTTTCCTCCCTTAAACTCATAACTAACAAGCCTATTTTTCGGCCATCAGGCCCAGGCCAGTGTTGATTGAGACTACACTGCCGGCTGCAAAATAAAACGCCTGAACACCTCGGGCTTTGACCCATGACCCTGTTTTCTGAAAATAGTTTTCTTTTGAGTGTACTGCACAGAATTGCAGAGCGAACGCTGAGGAAAGTTGTTGTGAGCCCAGAAACGGGATTGTCAAGAAGCATGATGATTGGTGTTGGTATCATGTCTACGCCAAAATCTCTATCTCTTACGGAATGATGAATACAAGAAATTAAATGTTTGTTACGATTTAGAAGGCCTGGCCGGAGGTTCTGGCACCTTGAGAGTCGGAACATCTGCCTTTGCGTCTTCCTCGATGGGTTCAGGTTCCTCCGTATATGCCAGAGGCGAAGGTCCAGTGGCTCCACGCGGCGGGAATTCGACATTGCTGCGATCCTGCACCGGGGACCAGCCAGCACCAACGGAGCCGGCAATGATTCCCGCCATAACGGTAGTTGCGCCAAGGGCTGAGTTCGAACGACTCCTTCCGGATCTCATGGACCGAGACCGAGCGCGTGAGTTGGGTGTCGGTGCAGGCGATTCGCCGGTACTATCCTCGCGGATGGGAGTTCGTGGCGGCAACGTCTCCCTCATGGAATTCGATCTGGAGTGCGAGGGGCTTCGGATCTGCATGAGAACTTCCTTGGGGTTGTGCAATGCGAATTTGAGATTGTTCAGACGACCACCCTTGAACCGCTTGAGGAAAGTAAGCTCATCCCTAACATCGGCAAGGGGTTCCGGGTAGTGCTCAAATCGCTCTTCATCAGTGACGGTAAAGCCTGGAACGCGAGAAGATCTGCGCTTCAAGGATGCTGGAATCAGCTTCGTCAGGAGAACATCGGGAATCAGTCGGATTACTATGCCGATCGGAATCGAGATGAAACCAAGCACGATGGCAAGAGCCCATTGAAGACCCGTCTGTGGTGGGTCCGTCTCGGAGATCGAGAACGGGCGACCGCCAACAAAGATAATCAACACTTGAGCACCGCACATAGCCACGTTGATGCAGATAAAGAACCAGTTCGAGAATAAGCCCTCGAATATGTTGAACTTGTTATCCAGGCGACGGTTACTGTGATGTTGTTAGTATAATGTGTGCAAAGAGCAAAAGTGCACTATGTAACTTACTTCCACTGGTTGAAAATCTGCATCCACACAAAAGTGTTGAAAACAAGAGTATCTCGTTGTTGAGTCTCCACCGCATCATCGAATCCAAAAATGGCACCTGCGCCGTAGTAGAGCAGAAAGGTGATAGCTAACTGGTAAATGGCCTGGCCAAGTATCATCTTCCACATCGTAATAGAGATGATGCTGGCGCCACGACGCTCGGGCTTGCGGTCCAAGACGCTGTCCTGTGGTGGATCTGTTGCCAAAGCGAGAGCAGCCAGAGTGTCCATGATCAAGTTGACCCACAGCAGTTGGACAGCCGTCAGGACAGATGATTCCTGGTTATTCGTAATAGCAGTAACAAAGGTCAAGATAACGGCAGTAATATTGACAGTCAGCTGGAACTGCAGGAAGCGCTTGACAGCATCATTGACAGCACGACCCCACTTCAAAGCCTTCACAATACTGTTGAAGTTGTCGTCCATGAGAATAATAGCAGATGCCTCTTTCGCAACTTCAGTACCGGCGATACCCATGGAGAAACCCACATCAGCGAGCTTGAGAGCAGGGGCGTCGTTCGTGCCATCACCAGTTACGGCAACAGTCTCACCCATATCCTTCAGTCTGCGGACCAATATGCGCTTGTCCTCGGGGCTGGAGCGGGCAAGCACCTGGAGGCGGGGGATGATTTCGTTCTGCTGTAATCTGGACAAGTTGCGGAACTCGGGGCCCTCCATGACAATACCATCTCCGACCAAAATACCACATTCTTTAGCAATGGCTTGGGCAGTCAATTTGTTGTCACCCGTGACCATTCTCACAATCACTCCAGCCTTCTGACAGTCCCTCACAGCATCGGGCACGCCTTCACGAAGAGGATCCTGAATTCCAACCATGCCAATAAAGGTCATGTTCCGGAGAGCATCGTCAAAAGAAACCTCGTTACGGTTACCCTCGGCGCGCTTGACGTTTCTCGGAGGCCATTGTTCGAAATCGCGATAGATGATACCAATGGTTCTGAGGGACCGTGAGGCATAGCTGTTGATCAGAGTCTTGATAGTTGCATCGTTTTCTGCTGTCAGGGGCGAACTGGTCAAATCCGTGGAAGGGTCGCGGATGATTTCTGTGCACTTTGATAGAACAATTTCAGAAGCGCCCTTGACGTAGAGTCGAACTCGGCCATTCGGTAGCTGAATGAAAATACCCATGCACTTTCTTCCCGAATCAAAGGGTACAAGTTGCAGGATCTTTTCGTTTGAGCGCTCTTCACTGACCGGACCCATACCCAAATGCTCCTGGGCGAAGATGAGCATGGCAGTTTCAGTCTTGGAACCAATAAAAGTCTTGACGCCGTCGACTTCACCCTCGAAAGCAGTGGAGTTGAGAGAAATTGACTTGAGTAGTAGTTGCTTCACGTCTGCCGCAAGGACCTTGGTAAACTCAGCGGCAGTCAGATCGTCGGCGACGTCTCCAGCATTTGTAGATCCGGCTGTGGCGCTTTCCTCAGATTCGCGTTGCGCAGTGCTTCCGAAACGATGGGCAGTACCAATAGTTCCGGCGACAACCTGCATCTTGTTTTGTGTCAGGGTACCCGTCTTGTCGGAGCAAATTGTCGTGGCATTTCCCATGACCTCGCAGGCCTTCAAATGACGCACAAGGTTGTTGTCCTTGATCATGCGAGTAGTCGCGAAGGCTAGAGCAAGAGTGACTGCCAACGGTAGACCCTCTGGAACTGCGACAACAATAATTGTCACTACAACAATGAAAATGTTGAGAAACTCCATGCCCTTTTCAATTGGTGTCTCGTTGTTGTGCGGAAGCTTGACCAGGAAGATGATGAGGAGTACAATGAACAGAAGCAGACCAGCGCCACCTCCAAGTTTGGCAATGTATTCGGCGATAACGTTCAACTTGGACTGCAGCGGCGTGATCTCTGGATCCTCATCCAATGCCATGAGTGTCTTTCCGTAACTCGAATAAATGCCCGTCGACGTCGCCATATAAGTACCCATGCCTTCCATGACACGAGCACCAGATTGAATAAACGGATCGGCTTTCTTCAGTTTATCACCATTCTCAATGGCATCAAATACTTCATCGCCGGATTGTTTGCGAATGATGTCTGATTCTCCCGTTGCCTGAGACTCGTCGCACTTGACATCATAACCTTTGATCAGGATACCGTCCACCGGGATCAAATCGCCCGGCTCAAGATGGACGACGTCACCTGACAAGATATCGAAAACGGAAATCTCTACAGTTTTGCCGGACCGTACGACCTTGACTAAACGGTCTTGTTTCTTCTTGTTGAGTTTGGCAAACTGACGCTCCTTTTGCCAATCGTTCAAGGAGCCCACGAGAACGACGATGGTAATGGCTACAATGATAGCCACACCTTCGACCCACTCAACACCTTCACCGTGACCACCAAAAGTTTCGTATAGACCAATTGCGAGAGAGACAACTGCAGCAATAGACAGCAAAATAAGTACCTTGTCGTTGTAGGTAATCCAGACGAGTTGAAGAAAGGTTTTTCCCTTCTTTTCGGGAATACGGTTATCCGAGTAAATCCGCTTGCGGTCAACGAACGTTTGATCGGCGTCATGTCCAGAGGTATTTCTGCGAGCAACACTAGTTGGTGGGTTCTCGGTGCCTTCAGTAGCCATTTTTGAAGTGCTCTTCCCTGTTGCTTGATCAAATGATACAGCACCATCGAGATGCTTTTCGTCAATGCTTAGACCGCTATCTCTGTTAGACCGCAATCCTTTCTCGATACCTTTAAGACCACCAAGAGCCCAGAATGCTGCAAGGCTCTTGGGATTAAACATTTTGCTGAGCTGGCCAGGACTGAACGCAAATGGGTTATTATCCACATGAAAGTCGGCTTCCTTGCCGGCGTCTGGCTTCAGTGCGTCGGCATCGCTAGTAATTTGTTCGTGAGTGAGCTCTCCAGCGCTGGAAACTGCCTTTTCTCCTTGCCATGTGGACGCTGTTCCAACGGCAGTCTCTCCCTGTGACGACGTATAATCACTGCTGTCGACAGAATTTTGCCTCGAGCGCGGATGAGTTGGCACGGCAAGGAAACCCTGCGACGGTGCCTTCCCTCGCGCTGCAACCGGGCTGGATACATTGTGCGGGCTTTGCGGGCGACTATCCCGCTGGCTTTCGAACGAATGCGAAGGCCGGAAATCAGGTCTCGAGCTCGACTGCGACGCGCCCGAGGGCTGAGGCATGTCTGGATATAATGTCGTCGGACTCGCCGTCAAGTCCGTCGGAGATCCCAAGGACTGGCGAGGACGGTCTGTAAAGTCTGTAGAATCGGCACTGGTGTCGATCGTGATAGTTGGGCTGAAGCTGTTAGTTAGCAGGGCTGTGGCAGGGCAGGCTGCACGCCAAATGCTGAGAATAGAAACGAGTATACTCACGCCCTAGGTCGGCCGGGAGACTTGTCGGTAGCCATATTTAGCTGTGATTGCTGAGAAAATTACGAAAACAGTATGATTGGAATGTACGATGTGGGAGGCTGCGCCTTCTTGTCTCGCTCCTCTGAGACGAAACACCCAACAAGTTCTCAGCGAGGCTGAGCAATGGAACTTTCGAAACCTTGATCAAGCTTTCTCTGCAGCATTCCGCTCGGTGGTTTCTTCTTCTTTTTGTCAGATAACCTCCGGAACCTGGATGGACTTGAAAGTCTAGCACTCTGGGGCCGACAATCTGGTGTCTGCGGCGCCGGGCGTTGGAGATCTGGCAGCGAGCTGCGGGCCGATTCAGTAACCTGCAATGGGGGTGGCGGCACCGAGCAAAGCAGAATCGGAGTTTATGCGCAAATATGGCGTTGTATAATAGCAGATGTACTTTTTTTGGTGGTGGCAGTGTAGTCAGCCTCCTGGGGATATGTACAACTACTACAGCTGTGCAGGGCGAAGGATGCAAGCGGAGCTGCTCAACGCGATGCGGGCGCACATCGAATACTAGCAGACGAGCTGCCAATTAGGTGATCAGGCGAAGAGAAAGGTAAAAGGAAAAGATCTGTAAAACCAAGGGAGCGTGAGGGCAGCAAATAGTAAAATGAATATTGCTGCAAACAACCTAAGGAAAAAACCAGGGACTGGAGTTCTGGCTGGGCAATGACAGACACCAGGAGGTTGTCCTGGATTGGCAAGGTGGTAGTGGAAAAGAAACAAATCAGATGGTCTGGAAGGTCTTCAGAAAATGGGACGGGAGCACGTTGTGCTTGGCATCCCCTGCGGTACATGTACAGTGCCTCCAGCTCCCTCACCTCGCAGCCCGCATTGCAGCATTTGGCCAAGGTACCTTCTAAGTAGCGTAAATACCTTGTGCGTAGTGGGCCAGCGCCCCCCCATAGTGCAAGCGGCAGCGTTGCATACGCTAAAATCGCACCTACAACCTTGAACTCTAGAGCATTTTGCTTTGGGGGGGACATCCATTGCTCGGCTAGCTCCGCTCAGGAACCGATCTGGGCGTGACTTGGGACTAAGCGCGGGGTGTCATATTTGATAATGAACAACATCAAGGTACCGAAACGACGGTTATCACTCGCCTCCCGTCGGGCTGCCTCTTTGATCTCTATGTTGAAACAAGAAGTTTCCTCCTCCAGACAAGCTATGGAACAGCAGAGGAAACAAAGCCAAATGGGCTGCAGGCAAACGCCCAAGTGGCACGGGCAGTTTGGCGAATTGGAGGCGAGCAGCCAAGAGCCGATGGCAGGGCCAAGGGAGGCTGTGCAAATCAATGTCGCGCCAAACGGGACTGGGGTGTTTCCACCCACTTTGACTGGGGGCGAGCTCCATTTCAATAAGGAGCAAAAGACGCCAGTCGAATGTTCAGAGAGGGTGTGGAGGAGGAAGGCGGGAAAAATAACAAAGTAATGACAAAATGCAAGATCATCATTGCATGTTGTCGTAACACACATGTCGTGATTGTGTTTAGTGGTATTATGGCTGACTGACCTTGGCTACTACTACTATATCGAATGGGATGGATGGCCATGTACAGACAGCTACCTACGTAGGTGGCTGCTCATCATTAAGTGACAAGGAGTACTCGGTAGAGCGTAATAAAATAATAAGGACGACAGGCAATAGCCGACATCAAAAGGGCCGTGGATACCTCAGCGGTAAGCCATGCGTCCCAAGCCAGATCCCATGTTTGTAGGTGCAGGTATTAGATAGCAACTTGGCCGAATTATCGCCTTGTTAGTGCCGACCGACATGATTATCTCCGTTATCTCAGGAGCTTGCGGACAAGAAGTAACCTATGGTATTCATCCGTGGGACCTTGTTCATGAGAGAAGCTATCAAATCCCACCAGCATCCTGCGTATCTAGTGTAGTATTGCCATGGGACGTTACGATACATTCATCTTTAGAATCCACACAGACATCCATCTTTACTTGATTAGCGCCTCTTGCCTTTTTCGGGGTTGACAGTGGGACTTCTGGATATGCTGGATCTTCTCGGCGGTGGAGCTGTACTCCGGTCTCTGTGAAGATCACAGTCACGTCTGGACCTCTCAGTTGGGTATTTGCTTGGGGATTGCATTTGTCGGGTTTTAAAAGGTGTCATTCATTGGCGGCAATGTTGCCATTGGGCGTTGGGTATTGGCATTAGCTGAGCAAATCTCCAGGAAGATTCGTGGCAGCGCCGCAAAACAAACGGCCAAGTTCCGAGCCATTGATCATTCTACTGCGTAGGTATGCTACATCATGCCTCACCGTTTTTCTATGTAGCCAATACCTGTACCTATCAACTCATAGGCTCACGCAGAAATAGGCCTACTATTCAGCTCCTCTTGAACCTTTCCACTCGTGCCCAACTATCGAATGCTTCCCAACAAGCCAACCCCCTCATCAGCGACACATCATCGTCACCACCAGTCGCTTTGCTCCATTCACAATCCGCCGACCGCCTCCTCCAGCATGGCAAAACTCCATTGCCCACGTAGTCTTACATTGAGCTAATAGCAACAATCTTGGTAGCCAAGCACACCAACAAGTCAGGCCCAGCTTGGCGATGAGCTTCATCCATCAGTAGACCCAGAGCCAAGATGGCCCAGTCATTATCCCTTGAGTCAATCTTGTTCCTGCGTAGCTAGTTCTTGCGGTCAAGCACTCCTTGCTCATCCGGCGATGCTGGCCAAGGGACAAGATCAAACACCAAGACGGCAGGCGTATCAATCAGTCCCCTTGTTGCAGCACTCGCGTGTCAGCCAGCCAATATTCCATACTTCCACCTAGCTTACAAGGCTCTCTCTCTCTCTCTCAGCCGGCTTTCCCAATTCGTAACACTGTATATGTGGTAAGAGTGTTCACTGTCAAGGCAGATTGCGGAATATGCAAATTCCGTAAGGCAGAACAGTCTTCTCATTCTATACCAAGTAATGCGCTTTTATGAGTATGCCCACCGAGCCATGGCCTCTTTTGATGAACCGTTCATGCAGTCCCGTGAACGAAGGCGGAGATCACCGTGTCATGCCTGGCTGATTGACTTTCATGCTGACAACATCCATCGGCCTTCTCGAACACTGGGGCCGCGCCAAGCATTTTTTCGGCAGTATAGCATCCTGTCATTCGCTCGTCACTGAAAGCTACTATGTACGTACTCCAAATGTTTATAAAGTCATGCCCTCGATTTGCGTCGCGTCGCAAACTTCGATGAAGACACTCCATAACGATCCGCTCGGCTCTTGATGCAAGACGTGTACTGCGATGCTCGCAGATCATCTCTTTTCTACTGTGTAGCTTGTCTGATGAGGGGGCCAGCAGCTGGACCATAACCCCCCTTTAGTCTCATTAAAAGCGCCCGCTCTCTGGATACCATACACAGTAGTGCAATAGCATTGGCCAAGCGGATACCGTCGCCAGAAACACCCCGGAACCCAGACGTCGAGTGAGTGAGAGAAAACGCAGCAGGGCGCTTTGCCCTGTTGATTAACCATAAAAATTCTTATTCGGCGATAGGATTGCAAAAGTAAATTCACGGCCGGGAGTGATTCGTATGCTTCGGAGATGAGACTTGCCGAAAATGAAACGTTTGTGGAATACCAAGCCAGCTAACCGCAAGCCCACCAGCGCAAAATAAGTAGGTCCCCCGGGGACGTGCCTACATTTTCTACACAGTAAGCAGCCCAGCACGGTTACCTTGTGCTTCATACGGAAATACGCGCTCGCGGCGCTCTCTGGCTACTTCGTCGCGAAACCACAACCCATATTAGAGCATCTCATGCGTCATTTTCGGGACACCTCCCGCGCCTACACAATCAACGTATCCGGGGTTTGCCATGTTGACTTTTGTTCTTTTTGCCTTCTTCATTTTCGCCCATTAGTGTGTGTTTTGTCTTGGCTGGGGGCGCGCACGGTGCACGACGAGACTATTGGCAATAGCCAACCAAGATCTGAACAAACGACTTGCCCTTTGGGACTGATGATCTGACTGGCATTTGGAGGCAAATCAATGTTCCACTATTCTATACACACACATCAATAATCATCGATATCAAGCCCCGTTCAGGTAAACGATATACAAGATATGGTTTGCGATGCTTGCCAACACGAAGACAACCGCCTCGCCGGGCTAATATGTTAACGCGACCTATATCTCCTCAAAGTCCCGAAAGATCTGTCGTACCATGTACTACATAGATCAATTTCTATAAGTACCGAACTGTCTGTTGGTACTCGGAAGGAGATCCACCGCTGGTTGTGGCTGTGTTCTCGGTTGCATATTAAAAGTCTTGTCCCTCATCTCAATCTCTTCCGAAACTCAGGGCAGAAAACAAAAAATTAACATGTGCAACTACTCTCGTAATCGCAAGCTGCATCGGATCGGATCCTCCATGTTCCCGGTCCAAGGAAACAGATCATATTCTTGCTAAAATACTTTGTAGGCATGGTGAGATTATGCTGCCGCATGCAATAACTTGGCTTGCACTTGGCTGTACTTGGCATCAGACTAAAGGGGGAAGAAGCAAGATCAGCCCTTATGATTTCGATACGGAAAATACTTTCAGGGGACCAATGCATGGCACGATGAAAGCAAGACGCGTCATGTAGACATCAAAGCCCTGAGTCGCCCAACTCGGAAACTTGATATCACAGCAAAAGGATTGTTTGTGCATTTCAGTTGTGGAAGCTGCAGAATTTCTTCACGAAATGGTCCCTTGGAAAATGTGTCTTCAATGGATCATGTCCAAATCATGGACTCGGACGTGCTCAGCTCCATACAATAAACACAGTAGTCAGCCTATATCAATGCAATTCTAGGGATGTCTGGGTCATGAACAAAGAGACTAAAGACGGTCAAGCGTAGAATCCATAATGGAGTGGGAATTGATCATAACACTATGGAGTTGCTCCCTAACAGAAGAGAACAAGGGAAAGGCGTGGTTGCCAAAAGTTCATTGTCTTATGTAGATTTCAACACCCAGAATGACTGCAAACGGAATTATGGGTGAGACATTGCGTCAATAATTGCTACCAAATCGTCTGGCCGTATCTTGATTGACTTGAGCTTCTCGGTATAGTGGACTTGGTTTATCTTGGCATTATAAAAAACCACTACATAGTACACAGCTTTTGTCTATGTACAATCCATAATAGTAAATCGGAGTTGCGGGCAAGGAAACATCAACCTCAACGAAAAAGAAACGTCCAACTACACTCGTTTGTCCCGTGAAATATATCAAAGGCATGGCTGGAGACGCGGATGACTTCGACGACATATACGATGGCATATTCCTACCCCTCCCCGTAGTCGACCCAAGCCAGGTGAGGCAGCGAGTCGCACAGTCAATGATTCGCAGAGCCAAGTTCAGGAATTCGCTCATTGGCCGGTTCAGGACTCACTTGAGGTCCAATGCGTTCAAGCAAAAGGTCAAGACTGAGGAGATTCGCTCCGACGTGAGCGCCTACTTTACGACTCGGCATCGCATGCGTTATCTGAAAACGATGCGCAGTACGAGTTCTGTTGGTGGAGGCGGTGCCTCGCTCTTTGCTCAGCTCAACGAGGATGGCACCGAACGCCGCCGCCTTGTTATCAAATACTCTGTGGACGAAGGTCGCGGCCAGAATGAGGCTGAGTGGTTGGAGAATTTCGCTCGAGTGGATCATATTGTGAATCTCGTACGCTTGGGAGAGCCGACGAAGAACAACTCTGGAGGAGGAAGTATTCCAAAGGTACCAGGCGCCTTCCCCGATCCCGGAGACAAGGAAATAGAAGAAACACAAACTTGGAGTACTAACATATATCTCCCCATGATGGTCCTGGAATACATGGCGGGCGGCGATCTCAATGATGTCCGGCAGAGGTGCAGAGAACAAGACGTTTTACCTCCAGACCGTTTTCTTTGGGCACTTGCGTTATGCTGTAAGTGAACTCCCCCCTCTCTCTTCACCTCTCATGATCAGGTTCTAAGCGACGTCTCTCTTTAGTGATGCGAGCGTGTATTGGAATGGCACATCACAATACCATGGTCAGAGGAGAGAAGGAAGAGATTCCCAAGAGCACCTTTGAACACATGAACATTGCGCACGGGTCAATGGACCTCTCGCAGGTACTAGTTGGGCCGCTTATCTCAGACGATGATGAGCATGGGTTGATTCCGATATTCAAGGTATGATGAGGGGATAGTGGCTGTGTCATGTACCGTCTGGGACTAACAAGACAAATCATGTCTAGCTGTGCGGCTTTGGATATACTACCACATTAGACAAGGACCTCGGCCTCGACGCTGTTGCAGAGAACATGCGAGGTATTGGAAGAGTAAGAACATATTCATCAATGGAGCACTACCAAATGAGAATACTACTAATAACCTCTATTCAGATTATAGAAACGCTTGCAAGCCCTCAGTCCAACGACCTAGAAGAAGACACAGGTCTCTTGTCTTTACAGTCGTGGGACTATTCGAATTACTACGGGGAGAGCGTGATCACGCATGTCCATGACGACTTTACGGACAGCGATATAATTTCACCCACGCTTCAGTGGCTGGTCGCGCAACAAATGGCTGAAGATTTGGATAATGTACCGAACTTGTCACACTGCCTTAAGGAATGTGTAGACACAGTCGACAGATATGCGAGGATGACTTATAAGCAGACAGCCAAGAACAGGACCGAGGTTATCAAAGATTTTGTAAGAGATGTGGTGTTGAATGCTCCGGTGTTCCAGCCCATGGTAAAGGAGCCTCAATCCACCGGCATTGCGGAGAGGTTACCAGGTATAATGGAATCGACTATGATGATGATGCAGCGCATCAGACTAGAAGACAACGCATTTCGAGGACCAGCGCCGCCATAAGATCATTCAATGAGTGAAATCCTGCTCATCGATACTTTTCAACGGGTCTCGCTTGAACTCAAGTGTCTGGGGGTCGTGACACAAGTGTCATAAATATCATCAAGAGGATAGTTCAGTAAAAAGGTGGTCACAGACCAGTTCCTATGGTAGTATTATTCTCCAACACCGACAGTCGTCGATCGGGTACTGAATAACTGCCTGTCGGAATGAATATAATACAGCAGCGTCGTGTATACTTATTGGATCTTTCTTCATGCATGGGCCCCGCCGACTTTTACAAATATCCTCGTCTTCATGTCTCGACTCAACCTGCATCTCCGACCTACGTGGCAGGGCACTGCAGGTCAAACCTTCTTCAAAAGATCCTACACAGTACATGTATCCCATGCCATGTCATGTCGTTCCGAATCTAGTCGTCATCATCTCTGCACGACGGGTTTCCGAAGTAAGACAAGTGCTTATGAGATTATTGGCACACTTTTTTGCACTGCCCGGTTCCACGGTGATACGACTGGTGGGTTGCAACAAACCATGCCCGCTCGTGTAGTAGTGCGTCCCACCCCGGGGTCGATGTTCATATCATTTGCACTTCGCTCTCGGATCTCGCAGAAGCCAGCATCCCGCTGAGTAATTATGTGCAAGGACTTTCGAATTATCTCCAGCGAGAACGACTTCACATCATGGGGGTCATGAGGTTCAACTACTACATACCAGATTGATAGTATGTGATGACTTCGGAATTTCAGAGCTCAATCAAGCTTGTCAAGTTGAAATTTCAAATAATTGACATAGGTATTATCATAGTTAATACAAAGCCTCAAATTGGCACCTTGAGCAAGTTTTATGCGTATTTTGTGCTACGATACCCGCTATTCTCCCCTTATTTTCCATGTACAGCAATGCGATATAGTGAGTCATGTTGCGTGAATATACATTCCAGCCTGAAGAGCTTTATCTATCGCAAATAGGTTACGATCCCCAGCGTCTTCCCAAGTCAACATTTCTAACATGCACCAATCTTCCGTCCTGAGCTGGCGCGTCCAGTCCAAAGAAGGGACCAACCGCGACACTCATGACGCCTTGCCATAGCCCGGCGACCAGCTCCTTGAGCTCGTCGCCCGTCTGCTTGAAGTCGGGAAATGCATTGACCTCGAGTAACCAAGCGGTACCGGCGGCATCGACGAGAAAGTCGAGCCCGTAGAGCTCAAACGCGTTGGGCAGCGGCTGGAAGTGCATCATCATGCCTCGGGCGGCTGCCTCAAACACCTCGCCTGTGACGCCGCAAATCTGCTCAAAGATGCCCTCCTTGGACGGACCGCCAGCGGCGGCGGCGGAGGTGGACGGCAGCTCCAAATCCCAGAATCGCCGCACTGTGCCGTCGCTCACAGATCGCTGCAGACATGTGTTGGTGAGGTGCGCCTCGAGGTCCTCGCCGCCTTGCTCCCATGGTGCCACGTACGGCTTGCCGGCGAATAGCGCAAGCATGTCCTTGTAGACGTATACGTCCAGGCTTCCCGTACACAGCACGTACGTTCTGATGTGGAACTTGCGGTTTCCAGAGTCTGGGAGCAGCAGTGGCGGGTGAATGTAGGGCTGTGCCACAAAGTGACGCAGATGCGAGGTCATGATGCCGTCGCCTTCCTCTTCGTCATCATCATGGCCATTGCCTGAGGGGTGAGCAGTTGCGTCATCTGCCTCCTCTTCTTCATCGCTGTCTGGCATGTCTTCCTCCCATTCTTCAAAGATGCCCTGTAGTTCATCCATCGTGCTGAACAGTCTGATGCCCTGGCCACGGTCGCTCATGCCGGGCTTGAGAATCCACCATTCCCGCGCCTCCTTGCTCTTCTCTGTACCATCCTCGGTCTGTTCTTCATTTCGCTCCAAACTGGCTCGCAGGTCAAAGGCCTCCACCAAAGCATCGTCCAGAAACTCGGCATAGTCGAGCTCAAAAGCATCACCCCTCTTGACGTGAGTCTTGAGAATGGACTCTGGCCTTTTTGCCGTCCAATTCTCAATGGTGCTGCTGAGGTAATGCTTTCGAATGAGAGCCTTGCGCAACATGTACGAGTTCACCAGACATGTCGACTCGTGCATCGAAGCAAAGTCCCAGTCAATGGACTCGTAGGAGGTGATTTGAAGAACACGAGAGTCTGCGGATGGAAGCAACTTTGAAATGGCAATTTCTGACTGCTCTGTTTCCTTCGCTTCCGGTGCCGTGAGCAAAGTGTAGGAGGATGTGGGAATCACCTTCTGAAAGGCAGAGAGGATCAGAGGTTGGACATAAGGGTCTTCATAGTCGATCAGTGCATGAAACTGGTCTTTCGGCCGATGCGAAAGGGTCGTCTCTTGCGTTGAAGTTGTTTCTGGCTCGGCCGAACCCCTGTAGTGGTGAAAATTAGACATGTGTCTACGTTGACAGGCAGGATGAAGTAGAGCGCAGCATGCATGTAGACAATGGACAGGGTATATTGCCCAGTACATCCAGGACTTGAAGTTGGCTCTGGAGGCTGAGATATGTACGATCTAGTCTTCTAAATTCTACACATGACGGGCTTTCTCATTTCATCACTACAGACAGTGGCACTTATACCGTGTCTACATGCATGTGGTCTCCTAGTCCAGGACCCAAAAGTCAGAACAAACACAGCGCTACTTACAAGGTCAATTCCTTTCCGTGCAACTCTGTCGCAGCGTGCCAGAAGTTTGCTTTCATGGGCGTGACACTGTGATATTGGTCAGTTTTGCATGTATTCTCGTCAAGAGCATGGGTGCGATTGTGTCGACTTACCTGGTGTAGCCCTGCATCACCGCCCAGCCATCATTGCCAGGCTCGGCATCCAGAATGCTCTGGTTCACGTCGGCAATCATCTTTTGCGGCGCCCACTTATAGTGGCGGTGCGGATACTCGGCACCCTCGTTTTCTTTTGTCGTCTGCGCGGCAGTAACATCCTTCGGTTGTCCCTCGGCTTCTCTTATCCTCTCCTCCTCTTCTTCCTCGTCGCCAACGCTTCCCTCAACCTCTTGGAAACAGGCGCGGCCCTCGGCCCAGTAGTTTGCGAGCATATCGGTGAACAGCACCTTGTTCTTTCCTACGCCATCAATCAGCGGCACATTGACCGTGTACAAGTCCACGCTCTTGTCCTCGGGCCACTGCGCATAGAGCTTCTCAATGACTCGAACTGAGTGGACAGAGCCCTGCTCAACAATCTCAGGCAGGTGAGGGTCGTTCTGATCACGGAAGAAGGCATAACTCAGGGCAATCGCCTTGCGTCGGCACACGGCCGCCTCCAAAGCAGCACCCAGCGTCCCCGAGCTCAGACCGAAGACGGCGGTTGTGTTGCGGCCATAGTTTGGTCCCGAGACGACCAGGTCGATCGGCTCCTTGTGCGTGAAGAAGTGGTACAGACCGAGCTGCGCACAGCTGGCCGGGGTGCCGTCGGCCAAGATCCACTCCTCTATGCTTCTGTCCTTGGATGGCCGTGCGTGTATCGTGCCCTGCTGCAGGTCGGATGCTGAAGTCCGCGGGTCGAAGACGGGCGGCGGCCGGTAGTAAGTTGGCTTCACGGTCTGGCCGATCATGTGGGCTTTGCCGATCCAAGAGCGTTGAGAGGCGGGCAGACAGACGGAGACGGTGTGGCCGGCCTTCTGAAGGGCGCGCACCAGGGAGTGCACGTACGGCGAGGAGCCGGTCGAGGGAGGGCCATCGTCGTTGGTGACGAGAATATGCATCTTGGCGGGCGGTGGCGGTGGGGTTGCTCTTCTCTTTTTACACGTCACAGACAGGAGAGGAGGGCCTTTGCTGGAGTGACTTGGATGACTGAATACGAGGTGGGTGGAAGGCTTGTTGCAACTGTCAGTGGGCCACTGCGGCTACACGATGCAATGCCAATCGACTGATCAGGCAATTGAGTTGATGCTGGACTGGTTATATACATACTGCACCGACAAACGGAGTCGGTCCAAATTTTGGACGGCGGGGCAACGCGGGGCACAAATTGAATGATGGCGTTTCCGCACGTCATTCAATGGTTTCCGCCCTGGTCTGACTGCTGGCTGCAATGCTGGCATCGGGTTTATACGTACAAGGCGGTCACTGTCAAACCACTTGAAAATGGATCACAATGTTTCCTGTGCCTTTTGTTGAAGACCTTCTGCATACAATCACCAAAGGATCCAGATGATCACTTATTCATCCTCAAGTAAAGTGGTTCTCAAGCCGGCAGGGTACCACGATAGGGTAGGAAGATCTCGTGCCCAGCATACCAACGTATACATTTCGGAGCCTTAAAGATAAAATAGTTGCAAACGCAGATTAATTCACTTTGTATGATAATTACTAGATAACATGAAAGTACCCAATTTTGAATGCGGTACTGGTCAATTATTTCTGCCAAAGCATGAAGCTGCCATCACAGAGAGTCCCATAAATACCAAGTAAATTCAAATAGACATTGCTCGCAATTTGTCTGCCACCCCGGAAGTTGTCCCTGTGCTGTATGAGAGAAGACCTATGTTTAAGGCCTCCCGTGAGAATCTATTCAGCCAAAAAGAGACGTGACCAATATTGTTTCAATATACATCGGCTTGCAGGGATACTGACATTGGAACTCTGCAGTGCCGCGTTGTTTCCATGCAGGTCGGCCTTGAATGTTACAACAGTCTAGCGCCCTCTACAGGCGCTTAATTGGGCAGCATTGGGTGGCTAAATGCATTCTTGTAGCGAATAGCGTCTTGCAACACATCAATATTATGAGTTGGAAACATCGAAGAGTGTTAGATCTATTTACTAAAGAATACTCAATGATCCTGAATAGATAGTATATCAAGTCTGGCAAATGTTCATCAGTCTGGGCTTATTGCCATGGGCAAGGACGCCGCCGTCATGCGATACCGTTGGGTTGATTTATTTACGGACGACCTCCTATGGCAACGAATTGGCGGCAAGGCCATCTTGGTCCCGCAAAAGGTTTAGATCTGGATCTGGGGTGCGACCCAGTCCGTATCCGGCGTGGGCGATCGGCTAAGTTTAGCGCCGGCATGGATGCTTAACGTAGTCCCTTGGTTGGGTACCGTCTGTCACCACCACCTCACACATACATCTAGGCGCAGAGGGTTGCCCCGCGCAACGGATAAACAATGTCAACATGCTGATTACTGGTTGCAATGACGACTGAATAGGCCTGATCCTGGTATCGCACACGTCCCAAAACTGTCAATACAACCGAGAAATAAGCCCTCCATTATCTCATCTTTCTCTTTGGCACAATCGAACAACTGTTCCAGAGGCAGACCGTCCACGGAGAGCAGAGAGAGCCGTCATTTCACTTCAAGACATTCGGGGAACCCGCCATCAGTCGGACGGACGGCGACATTCCAGCAATAGACAGACACTTGACCCGGAGCCTCGACTCATCGTTGGTCATCACCGTTGGGAAAAAAAAAGCCCTTCCGCAAAAACACTTGTTTACAATTTTCGCAAAATACCCGGGGCGTCATGCCTGCAGCTACCGAAGCGCCGACAGTTGCGCTGTCGTGTACGTTCTCGTATCCCTTGGTCCGGACGATACCTCGAGAATGACCATGCTAACCTCTGTAGTCGCAAATAACTTCTGGGGAAAAGACGATGCCGGCGTAGGTCCATTGTTGGACCGCATGCTCGCTGCGAAACAGACATGCGACGAACTCAGATCCTTCTACAGCGCTCGCGCATCTATTGAAGAAGATTATGCGCGCAAGCTCATGTCCCTGTGCCGAAAGTCCCTTGGCTCTCACGAAATGGGCACACTCAAGACTTCCTTAGATACGGTGCGGGGAGAGGTGGATGCCATGGCAAAACAACACTCCAGCATTGCGCAGCAGATGAAGACAGAACTGGAGGAGCCACTGGCCGCCTTTGCCGGTGGTATGAAAGAGCGTCGAAAGATTGTGCAAAACACTGTCGAAAAGCTTCTCAAAACCAAAGTGCAACAAACACAAGCTGTAAACAAGACACGTGATCGGTTCGAGCAGGAGTGCCTCAAGATCAAGGGCTACAAGGCACAAGGGCACATGGTTATGGGCCAGGAAGAGCGCAAGAACAAGGCCAAGCTTGAAAAGACGCAGATCAGCCTTGCCACTTCGAATACAGAGTATGAAAATGCAGTCAAGGCTCTGGAAGACACCACAGCAAGGTGGAACCGGGAGTGGAAGGCTGCCGCCGACAAATTCCAGGACTTGGAGGAAGAGAGACTGGACTTCACCAAGAGTTCCCTTTGGACATTTGCAAATATAGCTTCAACCGTCTGTGTCAGCGATGACGCATCATGCGAGAAGATCCGACTATCACTCGAGAATTTGGAGGTCGAAAAGGATATCATCAACTTCATCACAGAAAAGGGTACTGGTCAGGAGATCCCCGATCCTCCCAAGTACATCAACTACTGCCGAGGCGATGTGGACGATCATGAATCATTAGCATCCGTGAACGACGACAACTATTCCGTGGCCCAATTCCCAAGAAGTATCAATCCTGCCTATCGCACTGTTTCGCCACAGCCCTCAACCTTTGAGTCGCATCACGATCCCAACTCAGCACTCGCCCGAGACCTTGGACATTTTGACCAAAACCCACCCCAGGCGGAGGACAATACGACGCCGCAGCAACAGCGCCAACGCCACCAGCAGCAGCAACAGTCCTATGATGCGGCTGACTTTGCATCTGTGCCACACGATCCATATCCCATGGACGGAATGACCATGCTCTGCCGTACAGATAACGGCATTCCTTCGGGGATGAACTCGGCTACAAGCTCAAACCTGTCTTCGAACCGTCCGTCAAGCCGTGATGAAACTAGCGATTATTCCAATCCAGCTTCGTTCACTAGTCAGGAACCACCAAGTGGAATGACATCGCCAGTGAAGCAAGACCCGCAATCAGGACCAGAGTCAACATCCGACAAGCGTGTACTGAAGAAAAAGAGCGGCTTCTTCCAGAACCATAGCCCCTTCAGGCGAAAGAGCACAAAGGACGTGCAGGCTTCCAATCGGAACACCTGGGGTCCTTCAAGCCAAGGTGCATCTGCAACCGGTTCGGCTTCTCGACGATCCGCATATCAGCCCTCAGAGCAGGGCATGTTGCCGGATCGATCCACTGGCAGTCCAGAACCGATCGATGCCAATGCTAGCCTGGCGTTGAACATTGGTAACAACGTCTTCCCCGTTGCCAACACCGACAGACGTAACAAGCCTGCCGATCAGCCGCCACAAGAAGAACAGGATCCCATTGCGTTGGCGTTGGCCGAGTTGAGAGAGGTGGGAGGCAATACAAAACAGTCCTCGGTGCGGGTATCAGCTGATCACTGGCACGGTATTGCCACACCGGTACCTGCGCAGGGTGACGCGCGACCTTTCTCCAAGTCGGTGCCCGCCCCGAGACGCGGTAGTGATATCGCTGCTGGTCTTCGTGGCACGCCACCGCCGTCCTATGACCAGCAAGTCCAGAGACTGGGAGTTCCTGCTCCTGCTTGCACGTCGAAAGCAATGCAGGCGACATCACGGAAGTATGAACAGCAGACTCGCGACATGTTCAATCCCAATCGTCCCGGCTCTGCCGCCAACCGCCCAGGATCTTCGTATGCTAGAAGCCAGTCAAGGCCTGGCACTAGAGGTTCTGACCTGCCGCGTGCAACTTCACCAGCACCGCCTCGAACCGCATCTCCTAGAACTGGCAGTCAAAACGATATGCGGCAGAACAACCGTTCCGCATCTCCCAACCCATACGGAGGCAGCGTTGGCAGCCAACATGCGCGAAGCCAATCTTCAGTGGGCGCAACGCCACGCGGGTCTGAGCAAGGGTACTACGGATACAACTCGCCTCACGATATGGCCAGATCGGCCTCTCCTGCGCCATCTAGACTCAACTTCGAAAGGCCCGGCAGCAGTCAGGGAGGACAGATGGCCGTACAACTCGCTCAACCAGGAGATGACGCCGCATACGGGTCACAACGCGGACGTCATGGCAGGCCAGGAACCAGCCAAGGAGGCCAAATGGCTTTCTACGATGGCAGACAAATGTCAACCTCGCGGCAACGCAGCAAGAGCCTGGCGGATCCAAGCCGAATGTATACCAGAGATGGAAAGCCCATCCTCCACCTAGGTAAGTGCCGCTCACTGTTCAAAGCACCAAGACAGGGATCAGAGCTAACCATTCATGCAGCGCGGGCTTTGTACGTATATCAGGCAGCCATTCCTGAGGAGCTAGGTTTCAGCAAGGGCGATACCTTGGCTGTGCTTCGGCATCAGGATGATGGTTGGTGGGAGGCTGAAATTCATGCCGGTAACGGCGTCGGTAGGAGCGGTTTGGTGCCGAGCAACTACCTCCAGCCGGTTTAAAGTGTCATGATATCTGTTTTGTTTCATGAGGAGGAAATATCCGCAGGAAGGGGAATGTACAGCGAGTTGCATTTTGTTCGAATGGTTTGGCAAAGCATACTTGGTTGTGTTTAGAAGTCACTTTTTTTCTTCTTCTGTTTCTTGTCTTCGCAGCCAGGGTGTCATCCGCTGCAAGGCGTGTAAGTCGTGTCATACATATAATGAGGCTAAGATGGTTTACCTAAGGCAGGAGTTGTCAATTGATTGCATTTTCAACATATATAAAACTTGTTCTTCTAGAGCTCGTAGATTTTAATAGTGACAACAAATACTGGTACTGGCATTCGAATCTTTCTTTATTTCAAGGCTACAGTGACTGTCCCATTGTCTATTTCAGTATCCAGATAACGTATACTCCACGGGTATCGTTGCAATAATGGATCTAGATGCAGACGATCACTATAGCCCCTGGCTTACAGAAGAGAGTTGTGGCCATGACGTCGCTAACCTCCGGCCGCAGGGCACTAACGAGAAACACGGGACAGGGATGTGGCCCAACACGGCTACAGCAACGAGTCCAATAACAAGACTTCGGGCTCACAACCGACCTGCCTTTATCCCTTTCACCACTCGCAACCACCACCAACCTCCTATATTTTCACCTTCCAAAGCACCGGAGATAGTTTCTCCTGCTGTCGCGCCAACAGGCGCAGGTGCAGGCAACATGGTACGTACTGGATGCTCACGCAACTTGAGCTCCAGGTCGACGGACTACGTAGAGGGCTAATGGAGTGCTGGCAATAGGAATACGTGAAGCGACCCATTCGAATGGCCACGACTCCGACGGCACAACGAGTTTACATCAGCACATTTCTTTTTGCTGTGACCTCTGCGGTTCTGCTGCTTGTGGCTGCGACTGCGTACCCGATCTTCTACTACACCTATGTGCCTAAGAAAGTCGTTTCTATCCCGATACACCTGCAGTACAAGTACGTATACGCAGTGTTTATCCCGTGAGGGTCTATCCACACACATACTGAAATAATTGCACAGTGCTGGTCTGAACCCTTTCGGCGTCGCATCACTGAAGAAGGACCTGATGTTGGAGACGGCCTACGATGTGACTGTATCTCTGACGCTGCCGCGGTCGCCGTCCAATGTCGACCGCGGCAACTTTATGGTGGCGCTGTTTGCGACCAAGTCGTCGCTCGAGAACCCGGCGCAGTCCTTCACGATTCCCGAAGACCCTTACACGCATGTGAGCTCGTCCAATGTGGTCTTTAGCTCGCGACGACCGGCGCTGATGCCGTACACGGATCCGCTAGTATCACTGGCCGGGCGTGTGCTGTTTCTGGCGTGGCATGTACTGGCGCCGGCGAGCGACCGCGTTGAGCTGCAAATCCCCATGGGCGAGCTGGTTCAGTTCCGGGACCAGTTGCCGCTGAGCTTGCTCCTCGACGTACAGGCTGGTCAGACGTTCCAGGCGTATTCAGCAAGCGTCGAGCTCGTCGCCCGCCTGACTGGCGTCCGCTGGCTCATGTACAACCACCGCATTGTTGGCTTCATTGTCGGCACGACTTTCTTCTGGTTGGCTGAGATGCTTTGGCTGGGCTTCGCCTGGCTTACTCTGGCCTACTGCCTTGGTTGGGGCGAACAAGGCAAGCAGGGCAAGGCGATAACTTCTATTGAGAATGATGGCGAAGCTGAGGGCTACGACTACAGAGCTATCACGAAGCAAGAAAGCGAGGAGGAAAAATACTTGACGGCCGCAACTTCACGAGACGTCAAGGGCAAAGGCTTGGCGATGAAGGACGAGGACGAGGATGACTACGATCGGAAGCCGATGAAGGAGGAGAGCGTAGAGAGAGACCTGCCGACCAAGCAATCCTGGTACGGCGACGACGACGAGGGGGAGGGCACTGGTAGCAGCTACGGCAAGAACAAAACAGTGGCTCGGAAAAGACTGTCGGGAGAGAGATACTGAGCTTTGGTGGTGTTATTTTCTGTTGAGAGATACCCCGTTTTCCTCTAATTGGAATATTCTATACTCTGATTTGCTAAATTGACAGAGTGAATATGGGCACTGTTCCAGTATGTTCACATCATCGTACGTGTCAGTATTACACATTCTGTTTGAGGTGCAATTCTCATTGCTCCACTAGAGAATGTAATGAGCTCTTCTCAAGCAAGATTAGAGTTCTACCTCAACGTCAATTCTTACCGTCTTAATTCCAACAAATCTCAGGCCAATCACGAAATAACCTTTGCTTACGCAGGGATGATCGAGGTCTTTCGTCTCTTCTCCAAATGACAATGGCCCACTATTTTGCAGCTCTTCTGCAACGGAGACCCCTGGCATAGGTCTCAGTAACTCTGCCAACGAGGGACAGCACAATCGCGGGGCCATGGGTGAAAACACTTCATCCGACGTGACTGACGTGTTCGGCCACGGATGCGATTTTATCATTACCCTGGCCTGATTCCGCCGAAGTTTTGCGATATGCTGTGCGTGGGAACAGTCTCTTCTTATTCTTTTGTATCACCTCTATTCTGATGCAATATTCATACCTGGTGCTCACATTTGGATCCAGTACATTGTTTTCTTTTAAGTTATTGGATTATGAACGGCGTAACCTACCAGACTGTGTATGTATGTTGTAAAAATTATCTGCACAGTACCTAGGTAGCTAGCAGCAATTAAATACTACAAAAAGTCATTACGAAATACCGCCTACATCCGTTCGCGGGCTCTAGAGAACCGGCTCTTTACTCTAGTTTGTAGCTCGGAATTTGGTTCTAGCCATCCCCACCAACAGGTACTTTCCCTCGCGCGGGACATGATAGCAATTGTGATAATTGGCCGGGCGCTACGCTATTACCAGCTAACTGGGCAGATTACAGAAGACGGTACCGCAGCTACCTGCCAATGTACCGTAGCATCTGACCCGCCCAGAGAATTCACCACAACTGCGGGCACCAAGCAGAGCAGCCAAGAAGTTCCAGTGTGTTGTGCGGTGCACCCACGCAAAAGCAAGCCATCGACGAGGGGAAGAACCAACCCAGTCACAAAAGTTGCACCTTGCTTGACATACCTCATCAGCTGGTGTGACATGAGCCGCATCTGTTTCGCTCCTCCCACCAAAAGGCACCCTCCCCAAGCTGACGGAAGAGGGAGAGAAAACACTGCGTAACCATATCACGGCCTCTTTCGTCTTTCCCGATACCTAGAGTATCTGGGGTAGATTGTTGAAACCATCATCGTCGTCGCTGGCAAGCTCACCACCCCCCGACCGACGACCGCCCGCACGCCCGCCCACTGCGTTTTAGTGTCAAAAGTCACCGCGCTGATACGACGAAATTGGAGCTTCGACTCTACACCGTCCGACCGACCTGGCAACCCACGGCGGCCTTGTGTGAACATCACCACCAGATTTGGCTTTTAGCAGCACAAACGCTTCTAGAAAACCGCCCACGAGAAAACCCGCGGCACTGTTCCCCGCCAGCGACTTTCGATCACAACCAACCTACAGTTACCCCCCCTCTCTGGAAAAAGAAGCAGCACACAACCTTCCACCCCCAAACAAACACTGCGCTTGCTTCACGGGCCCGACTTCGCTTGGCAGATCTGCTGCCCCGACTGTCCCACTTTCTTCTGATTGCCCAAAATCATTCACGATGCCCTGCTTCAAGGGCATCGCCGTGAGCATTCACGCAAATGGTGCCCCGCTCTCCGAGCACGGCATGCAGAAGCAATCTCGCATGTCACGCATCAGCACCTATATTCCCGTGCCCTCGCCGCAGCTCAACCCGGACACCTCGCAGCATGAGCCCGCCCGCTTTGCCATCTCCATCACCCTGTTGACTCCTGGTCATGCGATCCCCTACACCTCGCCCAAGCCCTCGCCCGAGAACCCAAACCCCAAGCCGCTGTTCGCCGGGCCGCTTCCGTCTTCGAATGCCGATCCCTCCCGGCATGCGAACACCGTCACCCCCTACATTCCCATGACCAATTCAGAGAATGAGACAATAGCCGCCTACATCTACTTTGACGGCCGGGCCAAGGAGGAGGTCGCTACGCTGCTGCGCCCTGGCGAGGAAACCTGGGTCAACAGCCGATGGGTTCAAGTGCCTAGCAGCGAGGGCGGAGGTCTCGCCGAGCGCGAGTTCCTTTTCCGGGAGGTCGGCCTGGAGCGATGGCTCAACGGCCTCGACCTGCAAGGCCACGATGCCGCGGAAAAGGTTGAGAAGAGGAGACAGAAGTTTGAGCGCCGCCATCGCCGCCAAAAGTCTGCCGTTTCTGCAGGCATGGACATGGAAAAATCAAACCGGTCGCGCGACACGCTTGCCTATGGCAGCAGCGAGCAACCCGCACTCGATGATGGCATGATTGATTCAGGCTCCGACTCCCTGTCCGACGATGATGACGAACCTCCAGAGGCAACTGGCCAGATCAAGGTCGCCATGTTTCGCGTGATTGCGTCTGGCGAAATCAAGAAGGGAGAGTACTCGCCGCAATTTGACGCCCATGACGACGACGACGAGGCGGGCGGTGCGGCGCAGGCCGGCAGCAACGGTATTGATGCGGATGTCGAGCACACTACCAGTTTCGCGAAGCCCAAGACATTGGATCCCAAGACAATAAGTACGCAAACAGTCACAGGCATTGACGGCCCCGACAAGCCCTATGCTGTTTTTACCTTCTTCTACCGTGGACAACGTAGGTTTAATGTGCTCAGAAAAGCCATTCTGTTCAATTCAGCATAACTAACTCTATGCGCAGGCCAGCTTTCCAAGATGGGTATCCTGCCTTCAGCAAAGGACAATAAGACTACGCCTGGTGCAAAGCGCCGTAGCACCCAGCTCGATTTCTCAAATCTGGGCCCGCTTAAGAAGGAGGGCACGGTGGGATTCTCCGCCTTTCGAGATCAGGAAACCGAACGACGCAAGTCGCGCAAGAAGAGTAACGGTGCCATGGATGAAGACAGTGAGGACGATGACGATGATTCCAACCCATTGAGCAAGATGGAGCAGGAGTATGATGCCAAGGTTGACAAGACCAAACTTGGCCCAGAGGATGCCGAAATCCAGGCTGAGCTCAAGGCTGGTATCGACAGAATTCGCGTAAGTGGCAACCCTTTGTTGTAAATGATCTTGACAGAAGTGACACTAATATGGTTGGAAATAGCTTAAGAGACAGCATTCAGCCGAGCCGCCAAGCTTAAAGTCGCCATCAGCAGGCCCGACGAACGAGACAACGCCCACAGATACGACCTCGAATATGGCACCGGCTGCTGGCGTCCTGAATCTGCTGAGCGAATCCATGACTGCTGAATCGGCATTGGGTAGCCCCATGAAGAAGCAGCGTGCCAGCGTGGACGCTTTGGGGCAAGATCGCAGTGCAGGGTTCCCGAGCGCCTTGGGCGATGTGCTTGGTAGGGCTACATCAGAACAACAAGCAAACAATGTCGCCCAATCCTCGGGTGCAGTTTTCGGGCCCAAGGATGAAGACGATGAGGAGCTATAGCGTTGCGGATATTGACACGAAAATTATTCTTTTCGGCAGCAGTCACAGATACTGCTAGCCGGCTGCATTGGCTTAATCATTACAGCGGTTCTTTCATCGAGTTTAGAGATGGCTGGACTGAACTTGCGGGTATGAAGCATGCCGCCTCGGAAAAAGCTACAGACACATGTTGTCAGAAGAAAGCTTTCCAAAGAGCGTTCGGAGGCCCGGCTTAGATGCAAGACCTCAAACTCACTGCCACTGGCTAGATGAATTTTGAGAAAAACTTTTATAGCCAAGCATAAAGAGCCTGGCAAGCGAGAATCAATGGTGCAACGGAAGTGGCCGGGGCTCCTTAAAAAATACATAATTTCCTTGGTAGATGATGTGTCTCTTGTCCGAGTGGAGAGAATATTTATATCTCAATAAAGCCCAAGCATCTGCAATGCTCATTGCCCGACGGAATGTTGATCATCATGTTGTCTCTACAACTATGAACTATTTATTCATTGTGTTTCAACAGGTACGGCAAAGAGAACACACCCACATTCGACAGCGGACAAAGTTCAATACATAGATTGGGCTTTTTAGGTAACGCTTATTCATGACATGTGTGTTTGAGGTGAGTAATTACTCCTCCCCTGCCTGCGAAGAGCAACTGAGAACAACATTGAGTATGTATGTAAGCAGGTATGGTTCTGCAAGCGTTAAATCATCTTGGAGAAGACGGAATGCACTGACTGCTTTTACAGGGAATTTTATTTGGAAAGTTGTCTTTGACTTGATGTATCTTTCCTCTGAATCGGTAGGTAGGACAATCGCTTGCGGGATGCTCTGCGTGGTGCCAGCGACGCTCCCGGGCTGACCGAGTTGGGCTCGCTCCGTTTCTGTATGCAATTTGGTACTGCATGTACTGCAAGGACTCTCTCCCCCGATGGCTCAGTGTTTAGTAGACGGCCAATCGACAACCATCATGTCCCATCAGTTGTAGGTCGGGCTCTCGGCTCGGCCCACCAGATGTGGCCACGCTCAGCCACGCATGGATTGCCGTTATGCCTAATACCCAGCAGGGCAGCCAGCCTGGCTTTGGGCTGCTGCAGTTACCATTGATGTACCTGCCGTCACCATCATAGGCTTCATGCTGCAATAGGTCAACGAGTTATCTACTATTTTCTGAGCAGAGGAGAACGAAAGCCACTGAAGACGGTTCTATTGCCCTTGCTTCCAGCATGACCCAAGTCGAACCGCAGTGAGAAAACCGTTGATTATGGTGATGACACTGCCGAATGAGAAACTAGTATTCGATATAGATACGGCCCCCTAATACCAGATGAAGAGGCGTCACGCATTGCCCTTCGCCTGGGCTTGCCCGAAATGAAAACCATCATTGGGATGAGTTGGGGCATAGAGGCAAGACGCTATCGTCAGGCCTTGTTAGCTAGCAACGCGAACACTGCCGTTTCACAGAATTACAGAGAAGCTCCACTGGATCCAGCGCAGCGAGCGCGAGCATATCGGGGAGACTCTGGGAGCCACTCCCGCGAGTTATTTACACAAGTTGGACTCGTGGAAGGACTAGACACTTGCCGACCAAACGTACAAAATCCAGTGCCTCTCTGTATCTTTATTAGCGACGGTGCAGATCAGCACGAGACGTGGACCTTGGTTCGCGAGCTGACTGTACGAATGATGTGCGGGGACACGGAGGCAGAATTCACCGTGACTTGTGGCGAGGAAGAGTTGGCCACAGTCGCCTACAACAGAGAAAATCTGATATTATCGCGTTGCATTGGCCAGGTTGGTCTGGCGCTGGAGCTAATCACTACCATGGTCGAGTACATGATGTACTCTGTTTTTTACGTCGAGTTCCCAGAGCTTCCGGTCGGGGCCGTGGCAGGTTTTCTCACATGGTGAGTTCAATGATGATGTTGTTCGGAGTAGTAGCATTTTCCGACCTCAGTCACTGCAGTGATGAGACTACAAGACCCTCAGGAGCCAGTCACTGGATGCCACGCTTTTTACTGGATAGACTTATCGCATCCATATCCGTTCAAGATGGCTTTGTTGATATTCGACGAATGGGAATGAGCTCCTACGTGAGAACTGTGCGACTTGAAGATGTAAAGTTGCTCTGCCCTTCTTGCTGGGTCACTTCTGTGGAGTCCGCGCATCAGGGATCAAAAGAACAGGCGACTGTTCAGCCACGACGCTTCGTAAAGACTCCTTCAATAGCCACTCCTGACGAAGATGGTGGGTACACAGCAGTCTCGTACCTTTGGAGCAACTTCGACAAGGATAGTTCATTATGAGAAATGCAGAAATGTGCAGCTGCCGTCGGAGGCCCACCTAAGCTATGGATTGATAGGGTATGCATCGATCAGAACGACGACGCTACAAAGAACTCGGAGATTTCTCTCATGGGGTCATATTACGCTGGCGCGCATACCACCTTGATCTGTCCAGCCACTGAGATTGTGGACGTCCCAAGCCTTCAGCCTAGCAGACATTTGCTAGCTATTCCAGACCGACTGCGCGCGTATCAGGGGCTCCTTAGGTGGAAGCAAGATCCTTGGCACAAAAGAGTGTGGACATATCAGGAAGGGGCTATGAGCAAGAAACCTCGAGTCTGGGTCGCTGACCAAGGTGTCGAGCTGAATGCGGGTTGGCTGAATTTCATGTCCTGGGCGGCAGACTGTGAACGCCCGGTGAAATGCGATCTTGGCCTGCCTCCATACTGCCAGAAACTCGGAGAAGAAGGGATTTATTACCCCCAGCAATCGTTTAGGGAATCGGGATTCTTGAGGGGAGAAGGCGATGCTCAGGAACTATGGGCATACAGGAACTCCTTTGCGCGATCGTGGACGACCTGTGAACTACATGATTGGGCTCCTAAAGTGGACAATATCAAAAAGTCACTGTCCAGATTGATCGAAATTACACAATTGAGAAAGTGTACTGAGACTCGTGACAAGATACTCGGCATACTTGCTTTGGCTCTGTCATCAGAACACTTCCGGACAAACATGGTCAGGGATCTCCAAGATGCGTATCGAGAGGCCATACGAAGCGGCATACCCGGAGCTGAAGTTCTTATGTGTGGATGGACAGCCTCGAAGCCCAGGTCTTGGATCCCTGAGAATAACTTCGCTGAAAGATGGGTGAGGTTCAAAGTACCAGCTCCTGGAAATTCCCTCAATGTCGACCAACCGGTGGTTGATCAGAAGGGAAGGCTGATTCTTAAAGCATATAAATATGACTTTTTCAAGAATGTCAGACGACCAATTACGCTTGTCCCACTCCGGCCGCCTCGGCAGCCGGAATTCATTACTTTTGAATATCGAACTCTCTCGGGAGATTTCTGTCTAATTTCACTCGAAGGGTACGTCAGTCACAGGGGTAGAGCGTACGTACTAGCTGGTGCCGAAGGAAAGTCAGACCGTGACCTACATGATCACATTCTGGTCTTCGTATCAGAAGCTGGAGGAGGAAGCCACGTTCTGGAGGGGGCTTGTCGTATCGTCAGTGCGGTGAGGACAACGAGTGAGGATCCTGAGTCGAAAGAAATTCGTCTTGGTGGCATAACATCTCTCGCACTGAGCGCAGATTCATGGGGCTAGTTATCTAAAACGAATACGAGGCAATGAATACAAATTGGCAAACTGTTCTAATAAAGAGCCTACTTCTTCAATCCCTGTATGGTAACTCTTGATCATACAAGTATAAATCTCAGGTTCTTTCTTTGAACTCGATACTCGCATATTGGTAGCCAAGAAGAGTTGATTTTTGCGTCAACTTACTAATATCACTAGTTAGTACTTCATTGCAGACTGATTTCTTTGGGCTAACGGAACATGCAATGATGTCTGTTAGTGGAAGATGAGATTTGGTCATTATCAAGGGGTTTTAAATCGCTTCCTCCTGCAATGGACTTTCCTGGTATGCATCGTACTTGAACGTGCTGCCAATGTGATCATCTCGCAACCATCTTTGCCCTCTTCCTAGAACTCTCTCTCTCATCGAGAGCCCCTCTTCTCCTCCTGCCGCAACTTCAGGATAGACGCCTCTCCGCCGCAGCTCGGGAACGAGCAACTCGACCATGTCCACCAGCGTCCCGGGGGCCGTCATTTGGGCAATCGTGAAGCCGTCGATATCAGCCTCGCGCATCCAGCGCTCCATCTCGTCGGCGACGGCGGCCGGCGTGCCCACCATGAGCGGCGCCAGCCCCCCGAGCGAGGCGCGCTCGGCCACGTTGCGCGGCGTCCACTTGGTCTCGTGGTCCTCGGTCATGCCCGCCAGCTGGCTGTGGATGCGGTTCGCGTCCGTGCTGTCCGACGTCTTGAGCTCCTGGTCCAGCGGGACGCGCGACAGGTCGATGCCCGTCAGCCCGCTCATGAAGACGAGCCCGCCCGTCGTGCTGGCGTAGCTCTTGAGCTCCGCCAGCTTGGCCTGCGCCTCCTCGTCCGTGGCGCCCAGGACGGGGATCATCATGCTAAAGAACTTGATGCTCCGAGGATCGCGCCCCTTTGCGGCGGCCGCGGCGCGGATCCCGGTTACCTTGGACGCCGTGGCCGATGGCGTGAAGCCGCCCAGGAAGATGCCCTCGGCGTGCTGGGAAGCAAAGGCGATGCCGGCGGGCGAGGTGCCGGCCTGAAATAGGAACGGCGTCCGCTGGGGGGACGGATCGACGATGAATTTGGTCTCTAGCTTGAAGTACTTGCCGTGGTGCTTGATGCTACGGACTTTGGAGGCGTCCGTGTACGTGTCATTTTCGGCATCTTTCTTGATGGCGTCGTTGGACCAGGAACCCTCCCAGAGTCTGTGTGAATGTTTTTCAGCATTTCGATTCTGTAATGAGAACAGCATCTTGTCGAGTGAGAGCTTGGGAATAAAAGCTTACTTGTACATGACTTTCAGATATTCGTCTGCCTGTAGATATCTCTCGTCATGCTCGACGGGGCTATCGAAGCCAATGGCCTTGAAGGCCGACTTCTTCCACGATGTGACAATGTTCCAGGCAATGCGACCTTTGGTCAGATGATCCAACGTTGAATACCTTCTGGCCAGGAGAAAGGGCAGTTCGCCGGCTGTTGAGCCCGTGACTCCAAACGCCAAGTTCTTGGTGACTGCTGCCATTGCAGAGACCGGCTTCCCCCCGAAATGCGTTAGTTGACTGTACTGTTGACCTGATTCGAGAGTTTCAGGGTCACTCACCACAATAGGGTCCAAGACGGGCCACTGCACCGCTCTCGAGACACAATTATCCAAGTTGCCCTCGTAGGTGTCGTATCCTCCGTATGTGTCTGCAATGAAGAGAGACAAGAAGCCGCCGCGCTCCAACAATTGGGCCAACTCGATCCAGTACGCCAGATCTCGCTTTGTGCTGCCCTTGTCTGCTGGGTTCTTCGAGAATTAGCTCTATTGATCGCGAAACTTGGTATATAATCTTCAAGATGTCGATGGGGCTTTCAAATTACCTTCCATTGTCCAAAATTCATGTGCGTCGGTGTAAACATGTCAAATGCATTGAGCATGATTTGTTTTCTGGAGTGGCCGAGGTCGTGAGCTCCATTGAGCTCATTACCTGTGCCCGAAACATCTAATGAAGCCATGGCGCCGGGGTTGACGAGCTTTCAGAGCAATAATGTATACTCTGATCCACTTAAGACTTGTGCCTCTGCCAAATAGGCGAGTTTTCTAGACCTTTGCTAAAAAGAAATTCCAAGTACGAAGAAAGATACGTAGTTTGAAATGTTTGGTAAACTGAAAAGCGTTCAAAGTGCGATTGAAATTATAATAATACAAGTGCCACTTGTAGTAAAAGCGGAGTATGTACGCGTATATCTGTCAGTATGTTCAACCAAATCCGGGCTCCGACCGAGCTGTCGGATCACGTACCGAGATCCGTGCCGCTTCGCATACAAAGGCAACTTTTTTCATGCAAGTATGATTACACGAGGCCCATGAACTCAAATTGCTGGCTCATAGTATTCCTAAGAGATTTCAAGATGAAATGGTATTTTGCAACCCACTGATGATCAACTATGGTGTCTCGTGCTGATGCTCATCTGCATAGGGTCCGAGGCTCTGAATAGGGACGACGTTGAGGGAACCGATGAGATGAGTTCTGCCTCTCGTGCTTTGACTATTCTCTGATATTATTGGGATATGTGGCTCAATCCGCTCAATCAGCATGACTGTATAATGGAATAAAATAATTACAGTTCATAGATGGAGGTTGACAGGTCAAGGATATCCACAAGCTCCTGAGCTGATACACGTTGCCGCCGATCGACCACAAGCATTCCGTATTCTATGATATCCAACACTGAGGAAATATATAGAGGACAACCCTTCACTGACTTGAGGTCCTGAATGAGTGACAAGATAGCCGGGGAAACCATCATTTGTTTGTCTTCGATCGGTTCGGCCCTTCGATGATAGAAGCCATTAGATTCCTTCTCACGTCTCTCTCGGAACTCCAGAACTCCACCCCGTCCTTTCAAATACCAAGTGATCATGTCAAGCCAAATTGCGCCCAAGCTCCATACATGAGCAGCCTTGCCTAGATTACCTTTTCTGGCCCTTCTTGGCAACCAACGTTGCTTTTGGCATTCAGGCGCTAGTGGGGAGATATCCGAACCATCTGTCAAATTGGACAGGATAAGATATCCTGGAGATTGACCATGGCGGCGAAACCAAAGGAAGTTGTCATGCTGTAAATGATCTTGTCGCAAGTACTTGAGGCGAGGGAGTAGGGGGTTGCTTAATTTCGAGACGATGTGGACTGCCGCCAGTGCCTTGGCCATATTGCAAAATTGCGTTCCTAGCCATTCTAAATCATAGCCATTGTCTCGAGACTCACAATCGAAAAGACTCCAGAGATCTCCTTCTGGACATGGAGATATGATGGTGTATGCAGGGCGGTCTGATCCTTGAATCGGCTGCTCGACGCTACAAAGGACCTCGAGAATGTTGGAGTTGTAACGTTTGTCGCGTTTCAAGTACTGCGAAGTGTAGACTTTGGAAAGAAAACTCTTCCAATCATATGCTGGGCGTGACCATGATCTTGCATAGGCCCTATACAGTAAAAACCATTCTTCGGATTCATTCTAATAGATATCATCAGTTTGAGGTAGCTGGGGATGTTGACCACAAACTTCTGGGTGCACTTACTTGTGAAGTCGAGAAATCTGTAGAATAGGAACTGAATCGAACTTTGTATATCTGAGATCCCAACGAGACCCTCCAAGGTAATGCTTTTACTATAGGCAGTTCTACTTCAGCTGAAGGGATCTTATAGTGATAAAAACCGTCTGTTTGACGAGCGAGGAAGGGGACTAAGAAGGTATATTGAAGTCTAAGAAACGAATTCTCGTTCGAACGGCTCCAATGCAAATTTCCTGTCGTAAGAGGAAAACGATTACCGGTTTTAAGGGATATGATAGTCTTATCCCGGTGGGGTGTGTCGTAGTCAGTCTCGAAGGTCAGGGGTAGGCAGTCATCATCTATGTTTTTGTCTAGGAATATTCGAATTTCTGCAGCTTCGCATACTAGAATGAGAATCGAAAATATCCTCAGGAAGGATCTGTAGATGATTGCTACGTCATCTGAAGTCACTGGGATTGTTCTTAGAGATCCCAAGACCTCTTGGATGACGTTTGGTGTCAAAATATGCCGAAGTTTTTGGAAAGGCATGAATTCCTTCTCGGTTAAAGGATTTTTGTCCAGTTCAAATATCAACTGTTCTTGAACTCTGGCCAGTGGATCATTGACGGTCAAGTGATTCCTGTCTGGGCGACTCCCATTCAGCTGACCGCCGGAATCTTCAGCGATATGTGGTATGAAGCGATGCCCAAGATCCAAACAGTATCGCAACGAAATTCTTTCACTCTTCCATTCACCAGGGTTTCTTAGGCTTTCACAATTCCTTGCCGGGATGACGTACGTGGATGCCTTCGTGGTGGTGGACAAATAGGCCATCCACGTGTGCAGTTGCTCAATTTCCGTCCATTGGAAGAGCTTCAATGTTGACGGATCGGTTTCATTGAGGCAAAGCCACCGATTCCAGAAACGTTCATTCTGGAGCCTGTCGATGATAATTTCAGGAGTATAGCCACGCAGGTCTAAGGCTTGACAAAAACCAAGGAAATTTGAAGTGACATAAGTCAGGAATACGGTGCCAACTTGCTGCGCTGTCGTAGATTGCTCAGGGTTTTCAGAAATAATGCTGGTGTTCGATGAAGCAACATCTGAATCAGAGGGATCGCACAGCTCAAGGGACGAGAGGTGTTCAAGACGAAAATTGATCATTTCGTCCAGCGAGGTCACCTCTCCTTCACCATTGGACGTTGGTAGCAGGTTGTCCCGAAGAATCAACGACTGCGATTGAGGGTTTGCCTCAAGACTTACAGCTTCGTCCGCAGAGGAAGTGTCCGACCAAGCAGAATCCCAGCTGTGACTTCTCGAACCAGCAGAGCTGAAACTTGCAATACTTTGTGATCTGGGACTTCCATGATATCCTTCATAAAGGGAATTGGTTGACGACGAGCTGGCTTGATCGGTGGAATATGCTAGCTGCCGAAACTTCACAAGACCATCAAAGTCTTTCAAGGAAATGAAATCAAGGCAGGTGTGGAGGATAGTGGTGTAGCCATCAGAAAGACTGCAAGGTTGCCCGGCCTCCGTTAAAGCTCTAAATCCATTGTGCTGTGTGAAAAATGTTTTCACAGATTCGTGGACGGGGCGCACCGTTCTGCTATTACCTGAGCGAGAGTCCATAGAACCAGCTGCACCGTCGATGGACTTCTCGTACTCAAAGTTCATGGAGAGTGCATTGTTGTCCAAGGGCAAAGAAGCTCGGAAAAGCCCCAGGGACAGGTGAGATATATGGTCTCCAACGTTGGTGCAGTGTTCCTCCCAAAACTTTGAATTTCTACACCCCTGAAATGAGTGAGGAATGGGTTGGTCCAGCAGTGGCAATATGTGTTGCCAATGTTCCAGGCTCAAGTCTTCGCTAAGGACTGCCCACTGGAAGAATTTGAGACGAATGGAATGATCCCCCCGAGCTTCTTTGAGCATAGTGTGATAAAGCTCGTAGAATTGCTCTGGTAGCTCGCCTAATTGAGTTTCCAGAGATTTGATATTATATTGCGCGCGATGGATTCTTCGGCGTATAATATCAGCGACAAGAACTACCCATAAAAAGTTCCCTGACGATTTTGTTTTTAGTTGCATTTTGAACTTGTCGAACTCATCCAGGTTCCTCTTTGGGTAAAGTTTCAACTTCTCATCAACGTATTCGTTGATATCCTCCCAGTTCACGCTTTCAATCTGAATTGATAGACAATCTTCCGGTACAGTCAAAACTTGATCTCGGCTGGAGACCCAGATTTGTACTTTTGAATTGAATTGATAGTCTTTGCTGGATAAATCTTCCAGGCAGTCAATAAGAAAGATGCGATCTTCTTCGGAATATTGATCAAGTGCATCAATGAAAAGCACGATGTCACGATCCAAATTTTGCCCGATGATGGTCTTAAGAAGCTGCTCGAGCTCTTTAAGTTCCCACTCAATTTCCACCCTCGCAACTTTGGCCCTGTCGAATTTTGTTTCAAGTATATTGACCAGATTATCGTGTCTCAGGTCACCACTAAAGCAAAGCGGAAGTAGTTGGTAGAGTAAAGACCGGAACATACCAGATGCACTGCGCAAGAGATCTTCTTTTGCTGATGCATCACAAAAGAAAGCTGCGGTATAGTGTCCCCTGGCACTGCGTTGGAGGAATGCTTCTCTCATCACCGTTGACTTGCCGGAGCCCAGGCTGCCTTTGATCCAAAGAAGACGACGAGGCACCTCAGAATTGTTCTCCGGGCTTAAATGACTGGACCATAATTTTTCTATGGTCGCAAGGCTGGAAGACTTGTAGGTGGAGATGGCAATGTTGGGTACTATGCCCGGGAACTTGAAAGAATCGAACGACGCGGCGAGCAAGTAGTCTTTATCTCTTCTTAAAGCTACATACAACAGTGAATATCTCTATACAAATGACGACTCTGTACTAGTTTTTTAAGGGGACCTACGAATTTGCTCATCGGACACTGGATGTGGCTCCTGGGTCGGAGGAGTGTCATGCGCTAAATCGCCAAGGGGTGCGTTTGGAATGTGCTGCGGCTTCCAGATACCGAGGACCCAATTGTATATTATGCGAAGCTCGTCAAGAACCTTGACTGCATTTTGGTCATTTCCATCCGAGAAACGACACATTTCTGTATGACTGGCTTGCAAAGTCTCGGACTCCTCGCGGGCATCGCCTAGTGCAGAAGAAATATTATCAACGATCTGAAAAATACTGTTAGATCTGATCACAAATCATTATTTGAACATTTTCTACCTTTTTGTTCATACCGAAGACAGAGGTAGGCTTGAAGCCCAACCCTTCTTGAAAAGTCTTGACTCTGAATCCGTATGTATTCCAAACGTTCGAGAAGGAAGTCTGAACCCGATTCAATTCGGAAGTTTGCAATCCAAGTGAGTCCAAAATCTTGTGGTTAGTATCCATGCCGACTGCAGCGACTATTCTTCTTGCCGTTTCGCCTAATGCAGCCCACTGACTGCCACGGTGTGGTGTTCCTAGGAACACAATGGCAGCGGTGTTTTGAACCACCGACTTGGTCTCAGGGTCGTTCGAGCCATTGGAAAATGACAACGCCTACGAACGAATGAGCACCATGAACGAGAGAAATTACAAACTTGAAAACCACGTAACTCACATCTTTGATGATGATCCCTCCGAGCGAGTGCGTGACAAAGATGATCGGACGCTTTGAGACCAAGTTTCGCTTCAGCGTGAAGATCAGATCTTGCCCATGTTCATACAACGAGTTTCGATTGACCGTATTCCCGACCCCGGTAACATTGCTATCGTATCCCCATGTCAGGATACGTGCGTGCGGACAGTACGTTGGCAACGCGTCTCGAGGCCAGAAAAAGCCATTTTGGGCATCGTGATCAGTTGTCGCGCTCGACGAGGCAGATGTTCGAAAGAGACGTCGAACTCGGCTGGTCTTCTTGGTCGGTTCAGGTGCCTGAGGTTTCGCTGCCCACGTATGAAAGGGGTGGCCCTGCAAACCGTGAACAAATATAATACTATACTCGTTAATCGGCGCCGACTTTATACTATGGATCAAGTGGGGCGACTCACTCTAGCACAGGTTCACTCTCGATCGGCGAGGATACCACGGAGATGTTTGTCGCGTTTACATGCACTTTGCCATTTTCACGCTCATGCTCTGCACGGCCTGGAGCGTCCATGCCGCCATTTGGTTCTTTGATGTTTGACTTCCAGGTAATTTAAAACAGTGATCAATAATCTTGTGATATGCAGAGACGGCTGCGAGAAAGGCGGGGTGCGATGTATCTGGATTACGTACTGGGCAAGTCAGACTGCTGCTGCCTAAGGCAGCAAGCTTACATGCAGAGTAGTTGCCTGGCCAGTAAGGTCCATCATGCACATCGCCGATTATACCATACGCGATTGGCAAGGTCAATGGTGGCATACGTATAAACAACTTAATCGTTCCGGAAAGCGAATTGTACAAGCTTCTACGTCAGACCAGCCAGCCATTATTCTGGTCTTGTAGTCAGAGTGCTTGTGTGAAATTGTTAGAAAGGTTGCAAAGCTCCAATTTCGCATCCATCACTATGACTTATCGAAGTCGCAGGTCGGCGAAAAAAAAAAAAAAAAAAAAGAAGAAGAAGAACAACTCAAGTGGCCAAATCGGTCTTCAAGGAGAAATGTTTCCGAGCGAAGGAGAAATAGCCGGGGCAAAATTGTACCTAACGATTGCTTTAGAAGATATTGGCCAGGTAAACCCTGGATATTGATGAAGTCTATAAATTATCATCTAAACTTCTCGTTTTTCTTCTAGCCCTCGCTGAACATTCCAAACATGCCCAGATCGATGCCGGTCTCCCTTGAGAACAGACTTGTAAACAAACCTAATCACACATCTGCTTGCCTTGCCTAGGTAATAGAGGCTCGGGAGAGAATTTCCTGTGTTGAATTGAAATAAGAAAACCTTTGTCCGCTTGATGGTTCATGCCGTCTGTAATAAATTGTCCGCATTCGGCAACTCTTAAACGCTATGTGTGCTAATCCTGATTCTTTGTCTGCACAAAGACCTCACGACAATGCATTCGTGAGAGTTCCGCTGAATGAGATGATGAGCTCAATACTATGGTCCTCTCACTGAAAGTGATACTATTCCCTGTTTCCTGGATTTCGAATACGACGTCGGGTTAAAGTAAAACTAGTCGCATCACCAAGTCCAATCTCAATCACCAAGTCCAAAAACGAATTTTGACATTTATATATATATATATATATATAAACCTCGCACGCTATGTTCATACTCTAAACTCTCAACGCCAGGATATATCCTTAGTGCAAAGAAGAAGAAAAACATCAAATGTCCCTTTCAAGCAGAATAAGTCGTTCTGCAAAAAAGCTTGTCCCCGAACGTGTCCTTAACTGGGTCGCGGCGCACCAGCTCCGGCAAGCACAGCAGAACTGGGACAACGCCATGGCCCAAGCCGCTCGTGCCGCTCAAGCCGCCCAAACCGAGGCCGCCTCGGTGGCCTACATGACGAGGCGCTGCCAGATTGTCCAGACCTTTTTCGAGTCCCGGTACAACCTCAAGTTTGAGAGATCAGTGGGCGACGGCAATCACGGCGCTACTGGCGTCTTTCGCGCCACCAAGGCCCGGCCTGGGCTCCGGCGCGTATCTCTGACACTAGGACCTAGACCGGCTGGTGTTGGTAGTCGCGCGGCATCAGCTTCCGGTGGTAGCGGTGGAAGTGGAGGAGGCGGAGGCGGCGGAAGTATTCGTACAGCTTCAGGTGGAAGCAGTCATAGCGGCAGCAGCAGGGGGAGCGAACACTTTGACAAGTATCTCATCAAGTTCTCGCTCGGCTCGGCAGGAAAGGACGGAAGCGACAGACACCTGCGCAACGAGGCTCGCTGGCTGCGCATCTTCAACGGAAGCGAGCACTTTGTCCGCACCTGCAACATCAGCTACCTCATGGCCCAGGGCGCAGCCGAGCAAGAGGAGGCCGACCCCAACGAGGACGCCCGGGCCGAGGCCGCGACGCCGGCCGAAGACCACAACCCCGGCCACGACAGGGTCCTCACGGCCGAGGAACATGAGAGCTTCCGGGGCATGATTCCCGTGGCGGATCATTCCAACGGCACGGATACTCGCCGCTGGATTCCGTGCCTGGTCCTCGAATACTTGCCCTTGGGCGACCTGGACTCGTTGCGACAACGTTTCATTGATGCTTCTATCCGTCATGGAACGCGACCTCCAGTTCGTCTCTTATGGGGATTAGCGCTTTGCAGTAAGATATCCCAGTGTCTTCTTTCCATTGAACTTGGCCTGCCATCTGAATACCTTTTCGGGTTTCATCAGCACATGGCACCTGAGCAATAAATGAAACACATTGACTAACATTTCCACAAAGTGGTCCGTATGTGTATAGGAATGGCATATGTTCAAAATGTGAGGCCAGGAACCCGAGAGACGATTCCCCCGACCGGTAGACCGGGAACATTGGCGCACAACTCGATCAAAGGTCCCAACATGCTCTTGGATGTGCTTCACCCTACTGATGGTGAACATGAAATAACTCCACTGCTCAAGGTATGAAGAAAACCCAAGCATCTATATTTCATGGCGAAGGGAACAAGAGAAGGACGCTCCATCGTCAATCATCTATCCACTTTGCTCGAGAACTTGACTGTTCTGACCGTGTAGCATATTCGGGGAATATAGTTGATCGACTTTGGTCGCACAGCGTATAAGCCGCCAGACGCATCTCTGCCGTACTCGGACGGCCCGGGAGCATATCGCAATCTTTTTTATATAGGCTCGGTATGTAATGCCCCCTTTCCTATTCCTCTTCACCAAGAAATCCCAACACACAACCTTCTCACCAACAAGACAGGTCCTCGCAACACTAGCCTGTCCCGAAATACCCTTGCAGAGAGGCTGCTCCTGGATCAGGCACGACCAGCTCTGGGAGTGGTGGGGGCCGGGCCAAGGCCGCTCACGCCTGCTCATGGCCACGCACGCCAACAAGATCTTCTGCTCGGACCGCCAGATCGCCTACGACTTTCGCCTCTTTGTCGGTCAGCTCATGTCGGCCGTGGCAGAGGGCTACCATACCCGGGTTCGGCCCACGCTGCAGCAGGCCCTCGCCAGATGTGAGAATGGTTGCAACCAGGGACCTCACGATGAAGCCCCCGAGACCCCTGAGCAGATCCGCGAATATGTGAATTACGTCGTTCTCGGTGCTATGCCGCCGCAACAACCGCCACCGCCAGAGCAGTCTCAGCCTCAAGTTGGTCAATAATACTAGTGCAGATTTGAATGGGACAGTTTCTGGAACTTCTTTTGAATTCTTTTCGCTATCTGTTTATTCGCTGAGCAAGCATAACTACCATTTTATATTCAAGAATTTGGAAAGGAATGATGTCAACGTAATGTGAAGGATTGGCGAAGCAGTAAACACTGGCACTACGATCTACGATTCATCTTTCTTAAATTCCATCTCTTTTGAACATCAACGGTCCGGTTCGGACTCAATTTCGAAACACAGCTATCACTGATGGTATTGTAAGTATCCTTATGCATCAACAACTTCGTCCTTAACATCCTCCACGCTTGCAACTTGATCTCCTTCCGGCTTCTTGTCGATTGTTTCTTCCAATATCGAGTCACCTGCAGTATTAGTGGCTAGTGTCTTGGTCTCCGTCGTCGTACTTGTTGTAGGTTCGCTCGGTTCACTTAATTCACTAGTTTCAGCCGACTTGCTGCTCTCTGGCAGAGTCTCCGTGGTTGGCTCTTGAGCGTGCCTCGGTTCCTCGATGGGGGCCGACTCTTCTACTGTCGGCTCATCTTCCTGCTCTACGCTCATGGTGCCTTCCTCGTCGATACACCACAGTGTCCTGGTTGACGAGAAGGACAGAGTAGGCCTGCCATTGGCCACTGGAGGCGCTGAACCACTCGGGCTGGAGCTCTTGGTAGGAGCCCTGCGCTGGGGACCACGAGCGCGTCCCTTTCGTGCATCTGCAAGAGGTGCCTTTTCCTTCTCCTCGGCTACTTCTTCCTCTTTGGGCTCTTCCTTCTTAGGAGCAGAGGGCCCAAGCTGGAGACGCTTGTTAAGGTCGGACATGAACCCAGCTTGTAGAGCCGCAATCTTTCCACCTAACGGCCGAGCCGGCACTACTGGCTTCTGTCTTGGCGCGGCTTCAGCGTCCTTAGACTCACCAACGGCCTTGGCCGGGCGAGCAGGGATTTGAGGCTTGGGACGGTCCGGAATAGTGGGCTTATCGTCGCCAGAGTATTTCTTTGCAGGTCTGGCGGGTATCGACGGCTTTTCATGCTTCTCCACTGGGCTCTCGTCTCCCTCACCGGTAGCAGATTGCGGGTCCTTATCTGATTGTGGGGTGGAAACAGTTGTCTCTAGGCGCAGCGAGTCAGGAGTATCTTCCCAAACATCGCGACTCGGGAAACGTTGGCCCATGGACGGTCTGCTCGGGTGATTCATTTCCTTGGCCAGGTGAGGCTGTGCCTCAGCCCATGACTTGGGGCGTGACTTGTTATTATTTCGCAAGAAGCTGTCAGGACTACGGTCCTCTGCCTCGGCGAGCTCTTCTTGTCGGCGCGCAAATGCCTGAGCTGCTGTCTCGCCTTCACGAGGCACGATATCGAAAGCTGACTCTTCTGATCTCTCAAAAGCCCCTGTTGGCTCTGGGGTAGAGACCTCAGCGGTGCCATGCACACTGTCAGGGGCGTCCTCCCAGATATCACGACTCGGGAAACGTTGACGGTGTTCCTTTAGCTTGGCAGCAGCAGCAGCCTTTTTCTCGTTGTCATTTTCCCGGAATGGAATGGGTTCATATTCTTCGACATCGTTCAAGGGAGTAGAACGTATCTCTGGGAGAGGCGGGCTGTAGACACTGGATGGGCGGCTGGTAGGTCTGCTTTTAGGACGCTCCATTTCGTAGGTGCTGCCGCGGCGCTCAGCCGGAGGCTCGACGGCAGGAGTGTCATAATAGGGCGAGGGGCCCTTAGCGACCTCATCAGAAGCCAGGATCGGAGCGTCATAGTCATCAGTTGCGTCCCCAACCACATTCTGAGCATTGCCGTACTTGGCAAAACCCTTGCGCTGCGCGGGATCGTCAACATGAATGACGTTGTCGTCTTCCTCTTCCTCATCATCTTGGACCTCTTCTTGTTGGCCGTCAGTACCAGAGACCGATATGCCAGGCGTGCTCGCAACCTTCAAAGGCGAGTCGAAGTGGGCTGACTGGCGCTTGGAGGCTGCGGAAGGCGGGCGCGGCGAGGACATGCGCGAGGTGTACTCTTCAGTAGCATAGAAACCAACCTGCTCGCTGGGAGTTCCAACATAATCAGATGTACCTAAAATGAGTTAGACGTACTCCCAAGTTTTCAAGAAGACATATTTACCAGAACCAGCTCCTCGACTGGCGCTATCGCGAACAAGCTTGTTCAGATCCTCACTGCTCATGGAATAGTCCTTTACACGGTCGTGCAAATGGTGGTTTTTAAGGTCAAACTTCTTGGCCTCTGGATGCTTCTCATAGTAGGCCTTGTCGAGCCTATCGGTATGCTCTACGCCATGTCCGTGCAATCCGTAACTGTCAGGGGGCAATGTACCGAATCCACGTCCACTGGATTTCCTAGAGTGGTGGCGAGGCCTCGAACTGTCAGGCGTACCACTCGCACCAGGTCCAGGTGTAGGAGCCTGGATATCGCCAGCATTGCCGAGCAACGGGACTCGGATACCGATCTCGGGAATGCCATGCTCATCGTCCATGTGGCTGTCGTGGGACAGTTGACTGGTGGTGCTAGCCTTCTTCTTCAATGTCCGGGGATACGGGTCTTCGCTGCTGGGGCGGCCAATGCCAAAGGACGCAGCTTTTTCAGAATCGGTGCGGGTAACGGCAGCAACTCTCTGGATGGCAGCCTCTTGTGTCAGCTTGGGCTTGGGAGCGTGCAGCTTGACATCCTCGCCGATTGTTCTAGTCTGTTCGGGCGAGGCGGCGCCCTGTCCTTCGGAAGACGAGTTGAGCTCATCGGTAACTACGGCGTACTCCTGGCCCTCCTGGCCAATGGATGGAATAGTCACGCTACCTGGACGCTCAATGGGGTCCACGCCAAGCGTATTTCCCGATGTGCGGCGGCCAGGGCTCTTGGGCGCAAAAGGAGGCTCGTTGAGGGGAGACTGAGCAAAGCGTTCCGGGTTGGGTGATATGGAGCGGTTGAAGCGTTGCTTAGGGCGTGGGGGAATGGTCGGTACGGAGGCGCCAGTGTCCTTTTCCTGACTCCTCGAGGGACGAGGAGGAATTACAGGTGGCTGCTGCATTGTCGCGGCGGTCGACATTGATGATAATTTTTTTTTTTTTTTTGGGTTATAAAAAAAGTAGTTGTTGTTGCGAGAAAACAGACAAACAAGGGGTGACCGGGTTTGTGGTCAAATGTCGGGTTCGAAGATCTCGATGATGTAACTGACGTCAAACGAGGAAAGCTGTGACCTAAAAACGCCGGCCCGTGTAAGTCAGCAAAACAGCAAAAACTTGCACAACCAACGAAAAGTGAAGCTGCAATGGGAGAGAGAATAAAAGATGCTGATGATAAAAGTGCCCAACAAGTGACTTTTTAAGCTGTCCCCCATTAAAGGATCAATTGGTTCCAGCTGTGGTGCAGTTCGTATGCCAGGAGCAAGAAAAAAAAAAGTCAAATACACTTTGGCTGTGCTGGCATTGGCTGGAGACAACAGGGGAAACGGCAAATCAGAGTGCATGATAAGTGTATCGGGGCGTAGGTACACACCGCATTAAAGGCCACGAGGTCTGTGTTCAGAGCTTTTTTCTGGCTCTCGCAAAAGTATCCGTCTGGCGAGTCCGAGCTGAGATTGGTACCGTCGTTTTGTATGGCAGGTCGACGAGATAAGCCGAGTTAAAAAAACAAAACTGGCCTTTGCTTGGCTTCGTTTTCCTTCTCTCTTAGTCTGCGAACGGACAGGCTTCAGAATGGAGGTCAAGTTAGCATGAGGGCCACAGATGACATAGAACGACTGATAAGCATTTGTAAAAGAGCCCAATGCACAGAGATAACAGGCGGTCCAGGCGAACGAATCATGCAACCTGGGCTTGCATTGCGAGGAACAATGAAGCTTGCTGGGACAAAACTTTGCTTTGGCGGCAGGGAATCATGTCGATCAGCTGTGTCAGTTCCTGCTGCTGCTGCCGGAGCTGCTGGTGACTAACACCAGTTTTGACCCAGGTATGTAGTCACAGCCAGCTCGCCAACTTTACAGACGACTTTCTTTCCACCCATTTGCTCTGAAAGCTGCAAATGATGCAAATGATGCAAATCTCCCCAGCTTGAACCAGGAGAAAGCATGACTTCAATGCGATATCGCGTATGAATAACAATTTTCTTGTCTGCTCAACTTACAAGTAGGTCGTGAACTCGCTTATGGCGCTGGATACACTTGGCGGCTTCTGTCGGGTTTCCAAGCCAATGTAAGAAATTCAAACCAAATAAATGCTTGTGGTGAATTTCTGTTTTGGGGGAAATTTGAATCAGATCTGACAATCCTTTGACGATCTGATCAGGTGCGTATTAAAGGTGTAGAAACGCAGAAAGAAGATGTCAACAAACGAATAGATCGAGTGTATGTAATTGGGAAGAAATAAAAGTTCTCTTTCAAGAAGCTTTGGTAAGTTCACAAGGAGTGACACCTCGTGGGCAGCAGATGCATTTTAATACGTTCCACCAAGGGCGTCTCCTCTGACGAAGGGGAAAACCCAAGTTGATCCAGGGATGGATAGCATCAGCACAGTATTGCCGAGCATTGCCATTCGCGATGTCATGATGGTACCTTGGTTCCTCCTTTAGCTACAGCAACGGGCAACTCGAGCAGGGATGCTTCTGGTAACAGCTATTGTGTGCTCAGGTGAGCAGCGACCCCACGATTGCGTCTCTACATACACTATGGAATACCTACACCAATTGATGGCCAATGGTTGTTGGGTTGCGTACATACGGGTACCTTGAGTAGTATATTTGGCCCAGCCAATTTGAGCACCCGCTGGGGGCCCGCAATCAACATTGAATGCCAGCAAGCAAAAGTGTTGATCGAGTACTTCTCAAGTATTGCTCTCGAGTCTAGATACCGATCCTGTATGCATCCACAAAGCAAAGAATAACAAAGACTTCCACTAAGATACAGATGCAATGTCATGAACCCGGCTACTTGTGGAGTACCTCAAAGTTTCCTTGAAGGTGTCATCATCCCTACATGTACAAACATGACCCAACCAGCTACTACCCAACTACCTAGGCCGGGTCTGCGCCTCAAATGGCCCAGCCCTGCCGTATGCCCAAAACTTGTTCCCTTTTGGCGGGGTTAGGTGATGCTAGTCGTTGCTATATGCGTGCCATGGGCGCCCACGCACCGTTCAGGTCCCAGGTTCACCCCCCAAACAATCAAGTGACTGTCCCCCTTTTTTGTGGTAAATAAATCTGGCAATTGATGGGTCACTGTATGCTTCGAGAAGACGAGACTTGGTTTCTGTAGCAATGCACCCCGATTGAATGTCAATGAATTCTGGCAGAAAAAGAAAAGAAAACACTGTTTTGGCGATAGATCCGGCTGCTCGGGCGAGATTCGTTGCCAAGATTTGCCCTGAACAAACTTTGTCCAGTTGCAATCTATAGTAGAGAGAGCCACAGTGTCCGTGTCAACGTTGTAAAAGCCCAAAGGCAGGAGAAAAAAAAAGTCATTTTGGGCCGTCATCTGACGGTCAATTTTTCGAGAACCATCGTGGGGTCTATGGACAACCTGGGAAGCTTGATCCGACAGATACGTGAGAATACCTTGCGGAATATGTCCCTGCCCTTGAAATTGTGGGTATTGGCGGCGTTGTCATGCATCATTGTGCCCACATGGTAAAACCAACCCCACACCCATCGAGGGGTTCTCAAGTGTTCTGGGCTGCAGCGAACCGACGAATCGATCTCGTCGCTTTCGTCAGTCATCACACTTTCCAGGTAGGACCCCTCATCAAGTTCCCGATCTACCACTTGTTTTCAACCTGCCACACATGCTATTTTGTACATACAGTGTCAGCAACTCTTCTTTCCACGATCTTCACCCCGCAATATCTGCTCCGGGAGTGACGACATCTTGCGCAACAGGAACAGGAAGAGAACAGCGAACCTTGAAGACTCCGGGACGGTTACTCCCAGACTTTCAATGCAAGTAGATGGTTTGGGAAGCTTTGCGCGGCTATATACTTAACAGCCTGTATTACACAATGATTCCTTTCTCTTTTTTGTAATCCCGTACGTAGCCGTACGCAAAGCATGGTGGTTATACTGTGTGAATGCTCGCTTTATCGAGATTTCAGCTGCCAACCAGTCGGATCCTTCCAACGGTACATACATAACCTGGCTGGTGATCATTATCAGCTCTACTATAACTAACCGCACCTCCATTCCAACAAAGCTAACCCCAATAATGCATTCAGTAAACATAGAGCGGTGAAGAGGTTCGACGTATCCGTATCGCCAACGAGAGTCCTTATCCGTCTGTTGAAAGAAAATTGAAAACCCCGTCCTGGCTCTCGGCAGCAGCCATGTTCCTCTTATGGCAAGAGGATGCTTCCTCAAACCTTCCTACGCACACATGGTGCAAGTCTGCAAACTAGATAAACCGTGCTAGTATTGAGCTCTTATGCATTTGGCCAAAACAAAAAGTCAGCATATGGCTTTTGTCTGACGCGAGAGCTCAATATTTTTGTATATTCTTTTGCATCTTGAATTCCTGATGACGTAAATTTCAGCTCGTCGTGTTGCCTAACGAGGAACATAGCTGGTTCGGCTGCGTTTAGTATCATGCTACCATTTCATAATCGCAGTATATACAGATGTATATTTCCATTTGCCCAGATCAATTGCCCTATATTTCAGCTCTTAGACTGTTAAACTTCAAGAAGCTCGCCCCATCATTGTCTCCTACGACCATCTCACTTCCTGTACTAATAGTCAACCACTGTTTTACACAGTCATGTAAGTCAGCCTATCGGAACCGATTGAGTTAACGGCTCAATTATGACAATATGCTTTCGAAGCCAGATGCCAACGCTCGACACTTGTATAGTGCAGATCACTGCAAGTGCTCGTCTTATATGATCGCACGATGGAGTAATAAGCCTGCTCGCTAATGAAGATCCATTGGCGGCGATCACCTCTGTACGGAGAGCCTTGCCATGTATAAATGTATAATCACTGCCACGCTTGAAAGTATCGCACATAATGCAAAGCAGCCACGCCACAACCATATCAGAATGGGACTCTTTTGAATCGCCGGACATGAAGCCAGTGATTATTGTGTTGTCCACTGGACATGAAGAAAAATAGCTGAAACCTTGTAAAATGAGAATTGCCCACGCGACCAAGACGCCAAACCCCGAATCGTCAGAACGCTGGAATCTGTCCTCCAGCCAACATCTCGATTCCCAATCGACACATTCCCTTTTTCAATCTATCACACTTTTCGTACATTGGTGTCTCCGCGCAAAAGTCGTTCCATTTCGTAATGCGCCCAGGAAATTGTCGTCTAGGGCACTGGATTTCGAATATGGCGCAGTGACTCTTGACGCCGGGTTCTCTATACGATCATCTGTGCCACACCCTGTCCGCCCAATGTCTTGCTGCCAACAAAAGCCTGGTGCTTGACGGCGGCGAGCAGGTAGCAGAGAGCAGTGAACATGAGGAAGACAGCAGCAGCGATCAGACTGGTTCTGGCAGGAATTGCGCTCAGCCATTGGAGAAGACTCATGACACCATACACTGCAGCGCGCATGTAGTTGGTTGATACCTGGCGGATCGCGGCGTCGAATTTGGACGAGGTTGGGCAAATCCGGAGGAGAAGCGGCACCTCAATGAAGAGAATGATGAAGGAAGAGGCCCTGGGAGCGTGTCAGCCGCCGCTATGAGGGGGACGAACTTGTTATATTCTGTTTCCAGCCGGGTACACTTACAAGGCAAAGGCACAGAAAATGTACATGACGACAATCGTAGTGAAGATGTTCGAGATGCCTAGGGCAAAGCACAGAATCATGGAGAGAATTCCGAGCCTAGTTGCCATCATGTCAGCAAGGTCCTGCACAATACTCCAAATGAAAAGCTTCAACCCGGCAGTCGCATGATTCGTATTCTTCGTAAAGCAGCTATCCCCACCGCCTGTTCTGAGTGCTCACTGCTGGTCGGGTCAAACAAGATGTCAAGGAGCTTACCATTGTCCGTAGATGCCTGTAAGAGAGCTTGGAGTTAGTACCTCGGGATTCGGCATGTAGTCACGGGCATTGTAAGGCGCACTCACTGAAGTTTCTTGTGGCGAACTCCTCCTTGAGCGTCATCTTGAGAATTGGTATCGAAGTGTCGAAATAGAGGTATCGGTGTTTTCGCTTGCTCGGCAGCAGTGGTGTAGCTTACGACGGAGCTACGGAATATGTTTTGATGGGACCGGTCGCTTGCAGATCGGGTGCGAGAGGTGTGTAGTCGTGGTAGAGATGAATGCAGGTTTCGAAACCGATCAACGGGAGGAATCTGAGGCTGCTGCGGGAAATAAGTCGACTGAGAATGTGAATGCGATGCTTTGTTTATCGTTGTCGTTGGAGGCGAGAGTTTGCTGGCACTTCCGAAGATGACCAGATGTGTCCACTTGAGCCGCCCAGGTACGTGTGTGACAAGAGCCAGAGATCCCTTGGTGTGGATCCGAGCTGCCGTTCCAGTTTAAGGCCGCCTCATCAGCAGACGCAGCGCAGCGCAGCGCAACCCGACCCCAGGGGGCCGAAAGCCGTTTTTTTCTTGGTCGCTGGCTCGAGCCAGTAAACTGTTTTCAGCAGGCGCGCGGGGGCCTTAGATCACCCCAACCAGACCCTGAAAACTTGCCAAAAAAAAAAATGCTCAGAAACTGCGCTGGAAATGCGACCCGCGCTCGAGCCACTTGGCCTGTTTCAGAGCCGAATGCGACTGACCCTTTGGAACTCTGTTGTGGTTTGGAAACAGACGGTGCCAGGTCCCACTAGCCGTTCCTTCGTTATTGACCAACGAATGGAATAGATTAAAAACGGTGTCTCTTTTTTATTCTTGATCTGCTCTCTATCTTTGCGGACCCAGTCACAGTAGTCAGTCTGAGCAAGCAAATGGATGCGAGAACAGTCTGTCTGGTAAAATCAGCGCATTTCGCTACGCGTCTCGTATCCAATTATATTTGAATTGCATTCTTGAATGTATATGATTAGGAAGTCAATCTTGCTGGATTGGTACCATAGCTTAGGCAACCAGATTCCAGTACGCTCCGCATTGATGGCCTCTGTCATATTAGACTGGCTCGTATTTCACATATTCTTTGTGCAAAGATTAATGAGAGCTCTTCGTCTCTTCTTCAGTGTGGCCCTTGCCCACCAGTTACGTACTACTATACGTATGCTTCCCGGCTGTGCTAGGCAGGAAACATAAAAAAAAGTTATCAATTCACATGACCACACTAGGCTGCCATATATGCAGTAGCAATCGAGCATACCCTTTTATGAAGATTGCATCAAAAGTCATGTATGTCTCTTGATTCTATTACTTGCGCCTCGTATCCTTTCATTCATCATTTTATCGTGCTACCGAGATCAACAACATGACTAGGTTAGCTTCAAATGAGTCTGCCTTTAAACGAGCTGCGTCCCCCGACAATCAAACTCTGGCAAGGCGCAGAGTCACGACCGCTTTCTAACTGACCAGCTGTCCGTCCGCTGCAATGGGGGGCCTTGTGTAAATATAGCTCTCCTTCGCAACCTGCCTCAACTAGAGCAGATTTAACCGTAGACGAGCTTGAAGACATCGTTGAAGACGAAGAAAGAACCACCCTCGGGCATGAGCTGGAAAGCCTGAGCGTAGCTCATGGGGCGTTGCTCCTCATCGACCTGGAATCTGGCATTAGCTTACACATCACGCACGTTTGGGACTTGCTAGAGATAGATGATGGACATACCAACAGCTGGCCGGTGACCAGGACCAACACACCGCCGTTAACACTGGGCTGGGCATCCAGGGTAGAAACCTGGTGCTTGACTTGCTGGAAAGGAAGACCCTATTGCAGATATCATGAGCCAACTATTCCGTGCTTTTATTTATGTCATCACGTACAGCGAGCTTCTCGACGATAGCCTGGGCGCCCTGGGTAGCCGTAGACTCGAAAGTCATCATGGACTGCTCGCGCTATTCCTCGGTGTCAGTGACTTGTGGCTTGTTTATTCTTCACTCTGGCTGCTCACGTAGAGAGAAGCGAGCTGCTTTCGGTCGCTATCGAACTGAGAGTAGTAGAAGGTCACGAATTGCTCTAGTCGTCGATCGTCAGTGTGGCTGTCGGCTTGTAATGTCGCCGCCTACCGCAGTAGAGCAGTCAATACAGTATAACTCACTCGCGACTTCCTCAAAGTCTGGTTAAAAGGTGTTAGCCAGCGCTCGAATGACATTAGAAATCCACCTTGGGCGCCCGCCCGGAGAAGGCAGCAGAGGGGGGATGTTGCGTGGGCGGAGAAGAATTGCGGTCGCAATGTGCGCGCGCGTGCCACGAGTTTCAAAGTACTTACTGGCAGCCATCTTTGACAAGTTTTGAGCTTTGGAAGCTGGGAGATATGGGTGTGGTCGGGTGTCTGCAACGAAATGATCCTGTGTAGAGATACTCAGGAGAATTGCTTGTCAGGTACAAATCAAAGCTTTGTTGATGTCGGCGGCCTTGGTAATAAGGCTTTTGGAGGGGCAAAGCCAATTTGAAAGAAGTCCCCCGACCACGGGCCACGGCGGGGTCATCGACCCGGTTAAGGCATAAACTGACTTATTATCACGTCGCTCAACCCGATTATGTAATACTGTGCAGATCCGCCATGAATGCCCAAACATGGGACGCGGGTTGACCGAGTCAGAGCGAGAGAAATGTTTGAAATCCTACGAATGCAATCAGAGAATGGAAACCTAATGGTCCTTCCCGAACTGCTCTGGCCGTTTCATTGGGCTCTGTCACTGCACGCCGACACCACGAGTCCCTCTTCCTCACAGGCCGAGGCAGCAACCAAGACAGTGTCATAGTCGCATATATACCCAAAGGCACTTCCCAGATGAGACTGGACAGGCATCGCTATTGGCCACACCATAATAGCCACTCACAGCCAGCAGCCACGCATGGCTACCTCATCCGAGACAAGCAGCGGCTTGGATGCCAAGAAAGGTGCCAGTCAAGAGAACAGCAGCAGCTCACGTCTTTTCCGGCGCAAAAGCCCTCAAAAGCGTACACCATCGTCGGCGTCGCTGGATAGACTATTCGAGACTGGCCATGAGAGCAATGCCTCGAATCCGCGGATAAATTCCAACTGGGATGATGCAGAAACCCTCGACACGTATGGAGTGTTTGAACTGCGCGATGGCTTCTTTGATGCTGTGTTCTACCCGCCCGAGCAAGTTGACTTGGACGACCTCATGTGGCATGCGAAACTCACGCTACCATATGCATTCCGCAAGCAGGACCCCTTGTCTATTACAAACTTCTTGCCAAGGCAATGCCATGAAGTCAAGAGTGTATTGCGCAAGGTCACGCAGACCCGGGCTGGTATCAAGTTGCTCAAGTCGTTTCTCGGGTTCTTCATTGCATATATACTCTGTCTCGTGCCGTCCATTAGGTCCTGGCTGGGCCAGCATAGTTATATCATGCCTATTTCTGCCATCCTCAACCATCCGGGAAGAGCACTCGGCGCGCAGGTTGAGGGCACCATTCTCACCATCATAGGAACCGCTGTACGTATCTTGAAACCGCTAGCTGGCCTCTTTGAAATGTTTCTGCACATACCAAATGTGACAACTCAAATCGGTTCAGGGGATACCACGAGAAAAATTGCTAACTTTGCATATCATGCAGGCTGGGCTAGGCTGGGGAGCATTCGGTCTTTGGCTCTCTTCCGTTACTTCCAGTGCTCGCGTGGGATTTGGTGGAATCCTTGCTACATTTTTGTGTATCTTCATTTTCGTCATTGCCTGTCTCCGTTCCTATTACATTCGGACGTACCAAATGATTATATGCGCAGGCATCGCGGTCTGCTATACTTGCCTGGCTGACGTGTCGGGAGACGGGGTGACGTGGTCCAAATTGCTTCATTATGGGGTGCCGTGGGCACTAGGACAAGCGATTGCTTTGTTGCCTTGTGTTCTCGTGGCTCCGGATGCTGGCGCCCGCCCCTTGGCCGTCGCGCTACACAATGCCTTCTCTGTAATGGTGGTATGCACTCGCAGAGATATAATCAGCAAACACAAGCTAATGGACACAGGATGGGTCCTCCAAGTCTCGGGCAGATCAACTTACACGCCGTAGACTTGCTCAACAATTTGTCAACTTGTCACAAGCTTATCGAGATCTCGTCCTGGACTTTTCTATTACCCTGTTCGACCCAAAGGATGTTTTGCAGCTACGAAATCTCATGCAGGGAGTCATTCGCGCCCTGCTAAGCCTTAGGTCTAATATTCGAGTATTCGATGCATGGAATGAGGCGACAAAGAAACAAGGCCCTGATCAGACACGGGCTGAGGCTGACGAATTCATTGTCAAAATGGAGCAGGAAACATCGCGAGAAACCTCGGCTCACGAGGAAGAGATTTTGAAGTTTGTAGCAGAGAATCTGGTCGAGCCAACGGAGCACCTCTTCGCTGGTATGAGGGCCACACTGAAAAGCTGCGATGCAGTCCTGATGGATATGTGTGGACATCGACAGTATCTTGGGCCACCATCAGATGTATCGGATGACGTTGCCGGCGCCCTTGTGAAGTTACGACGGAGACTCATCACATTTGTCACGATACAAGACAGCGTCCTGGCAAGCGAAAAGTTCCCGCAAACATACGCCGATTATCCCGAAGTTATCAAGTTCTTCGCCTTCTGCCGACCAGTGCACCAAGCCGCAACAGCTGTCGAAGCCTTGGCTGTCAAGGTCAACCAAATGCAGCAGCAAAAGCCTGAGCGAGCCAAATTTTATCCATCTGATTATCCGTTCTGGAAATCGCTTCATCGCACGAATGCACAGGTTCGTCATGATAGAGGCGGTTTGACAGCAGGTACGTATATAACATAGAGATATATGGCTCTTGGTCAGAGCAAGATATTGGCTCATCCTGCGGAACTGTTGGTCTGAATAGCAACAGACTGTGTTCAGCTGGTGTTCCCAGGTGATGACATGAGAGCAGACAACACGTTCCTGTGAGGAATACCAGAAGCTAATCACGCTGAACGTAGGTTCCTATTTTAGGAGTTTCAATGAAATCGAAGAGCTCATTGGCCTCATCGCATCAAAGGAATATGAGCCATTGTCAAGAAGGGAGGATATCGGCGCCAACAAGCTCGAGAAAATGCGTTCAACCATGACGGCCACAGACATTGAGGATGAGTCGCCGTCGAAGCCTGCGCGTGTGGGCAAGTCAATATGGAAAGTAATGCATCGAGCCCAAGGATTCGAAACGCGCTTTGGATTGAAGACAACGGCAGTGACTTCGCTTCTCGCAGTCCCGGCATGGCTTTCGCAAAGCAACGGCTGGTGGGATTACTACGAAGCATGGTGGGCAGTGATTATGGCGTGGCTCATCATGGCACCACGGTAAGTATTATCAAGCACAATTGTGAATCATTCGTATAATTGGTCAACTAATCACATCATGCCCAGTGTTGGTGGTAATGTCCAAGATCTCTTCACAAGAGCCCTTTGCGCAGTGCTCGGATCAGTCTGGGGCGGCCTGGCATACTTTGCTGGAAACGGAAATCCTTGTAAGTTTAAAGAAAGCATCCCATGTAGGCGAAGCAGCTCGGATGACTGACACAGCACTCCACCAATAGATGTTGCTGCTGTTTTTGCCGCAATCTTTATGCTTCCCATGATGTATCGTTTCACTCAAAGTACACACCCTGTAAGTAAATGAACCCCGTAGCATAGTCCAGGGCATTGCTAATTCGAATTTAGCGATCCGGCTTGGTGGGGTGTATTGCATTCACAGTGGTGTCTCTCACCGAGTATCACCATCATGGTGATCAATCCACTGCTGTTATTGCGGCCTCTCGTGGCGGTGCGATAGCTGTTGGCGTGATTGCTTCCATTGTAGTCAATTGGGTCATCTGGCCGTTCGTCGCCCGACACGATCTCCGCAAAGCTGTTTCCATGATGATATTCTACTGTAGTATCATGTACCGAAGTGAGTACCCTGTCTAATATGACGAAAACAACTATTTAACCTTTAATAGATATCGTATCAAAATATGTTTATTACGAAGAAGGCCATGAACCAACAAAGGCAGACATTGAAGCGTCAGAGATCTTGGAAGGTCGATTGCGAGAAGGCTTCATCAGAATGAGGCAGCTTCTGGTAACTCGCCCCTAGTTCTCGACACATTTCCACAGGAGGGAAAATGAAAATGCTGACACTTCCCGATCTAGGGTCTGACGAGACATGAGATCCGCCTGAGATCGCCGTATAATCCTCTGCCATACTCTGCGCTTATTGATGCATGCGAACAATTCTTTGAATACGTTGTTGCTTTGCGTCAATCATCGCTATTCTATAAACCTCAGTTCGTCCGCGATGACGCCGAGGCCGCAGCTCGACTCCTGAGTTATCGTCGAGATGCTATTGCATCTATCCTGACAAATCTCTACGTCCTTTCAGGGGCCTTGAGAGCTGATCGCAAAGTTCCAGTAAGAAATTTTGCAGCAGTTGCACCACTACCATGTATTGAGGTGCACCTTTGCTAATGACTACTTGCAGAAGTATCTTCCCAATGCGGCGGCGGCTCGCAAAGAGCTTTTGGAACAGAGCAAAGAACTAGAAGCGGAACTTGCTTTCAATAAAAGGAATTCAAAGACTGAGAAGACCGAGGCAGAAAAATGGGCGCAGATACACAGCTATACCTACAACGAGAGCTTGACAGGTTGTGTGGAGCAGTTGAAGGAGCTGGAGAAATTCACCAAAGTCATTGTGGGCGAACAAGGGTAAGAGGCTCTTGAAGTTGAACAATTATTCGATACCTCATCACTAACCGAGTACAGATTTGACACGGGGTTGAACAGTGATGGCTGGGTCATACCTTGAGGTGTTCCTCAGCATTCCTACGACAAGACGCCGCCAAATTCCGGTCCTTCAGAAGTCAATAGCAAATTAAATACAATTTAATCAATATTCATACTTATTGGTTCATGGCACTGATACTTAATGTAATTGAGTTACTCGTGAATTTTCCAAGGGATAAAGACGTGATTATATGAGCACTTTGTGAGCCAATACGATGCCATTGCCGGGTATCAGAATTCCTGCTTTGGAGTCGCCACACCACCATTTCGGTCTTGCTCGTGATTGGCCATGGGGAGCCAACCACCATTGGGGGCTCCCATTACTGACATCACCGCAGGATGATGGAGAGAGCACCTTTTTATTGCCAAAAAAGTCAATCATTACTTTGTTGATTCATTTTGTTTCCCATCATAATACTATGCGCGTCGCGCATGGCCTGCATCCGCGCGCAAACTGGGTTCGCGCATGAGAGAATAGTATGATCAGCTACTATAACCAAGCCTTGGTTTATACTACTCACAAATCGTTCACTAAATTACCGGTTGTGACGACCCCTCATTGAGTTGCCTCCATCAAGTAATATCATCGTTAACAACCGACACGAGGGAAGAAGAAAGCAATTTTATTTCATCAAGGAGATTTTTCTCTCTTTTATTTTTTATTCTTGTTAAAAAAAAAAACCAAAAAAAACACCATGGGCATTCCATACTCGAGACAGATACACTCGGCCTTTGACCAGGTGACGCCGCTGGTGGCCGCGGGTTTCGAAGTGCTCAGGACGACCAAGAATATCGCCATCTTCTTGGCATGTCTTCAGGTCTTTGTGGCTCTGGTACTCTCACTTCAGGTCAGTACTTTAGAAATCTCAAGATGCCCACCATGTCTTGGTGGTCTTTCTTCCCCCCTCCCCTTTTCTTCGATGCTGACTCTGCAACTGTGACTAGCTCTGCGCTCTACTGGGCCTAATAATCACAGTGAGTCCAGACCTAGAGCCGGAACGCGCGCAGCTCGTGACGCCCATTGTCCGGTGGCTGGCTGCCTGGGTGCTCGAATACGGAGGCGTGATACTTTGGATCCTCAAATTCTCCATCGTGGCAGGCACCGCGACGATGGGCGTCTTGGTCTGGATTGGCGGGCTGGCGGGGACGAGGGTGCCGGGCGAAGGCAGTGGGGATGGGGCCGGGGAGGGGGATGACAAGGAGGGAGTGGTCGGCGATGGCTGATTGCGACATTCGATTGCTTTGTTCATGGTTGACGCGGGATTAAGCGAGCATAGGAAAGAGGGTTATTTGTGTTTGATTATGTTGTAGTTGGTTGGATGTGGCCTACGGACTGTGCCAACGGCCTTTTCTACATTCATATGTGTCAAGAAGGGCGACCGAGCAACCAAAACGCCAGCTTTTTTTTGGGCCAGCTCTAGCAAACGGATGCCATATTAATGAACGTGGTGCAAATGACCTCAACAAAGATGGGCCTCTGGGCAGGCCTGACGCATGACCCCTAGTTTCATGGTCGAGTGGCTTGATGGGTCAGAGCCCTTCGCCTACGGGTTAATATCCAATCTTTTCTTCTTGTTCTTCTTTCTATTCCTTGTTAATATTTACTTCTGCATCACGTTTGGGACGGAGCAATACATGAAGGGAGGTAGCTTTCTTATGCATGAAAGTAAAAAGCAAAAAATAATAATCGGAAGGACTTGCAGTTCTAGAGTTCCGTCTGGGCTGTAATCGAGAGAGTATATATATATATATATATATACCGCGATAGAATTATACCTTTTTCCAACATAAAAGATCTAGCGAAACGTTTGTGTTAGAGTCAACAAGCCTTCGACAGAATCTCCGCTGCTCTTTCGTCAAAGACGGGTCAATACATGCGTCCCTACCAGTCGTGTCTATGTGGATAATTCCCATATACAATTACAGCTGACACCCGTGCCACCTAATCATACAGATATGAGCCCGCATCGCCCAAGACAGAACCCGTCAGTCCTTCACAGTACAAAAATTCACTATAAGCTCTCGACAATTCCCGAGTTGACTTAGGCCATCTTGCCACTTAATCTTCCCGAACGCCTCCTCCCTCCAGCATCCACTACGGGCAGAGCCGCTTTCTCATCATTAGACTTGCCTTTCTTGGATGCTCTTTTCTGAACGTCGGGCTTGACATCATCTTCCTCTTTGCTCGACGGGGCTTTTCTGGCCTTTTTGGTATTTTCGATAGGAACGTCGACTTCTTCATCCTTGATGGCCTTTCGCTTGCCTACAGTGCCATTACTCGTCGTCTTGGCGGGCGGCTGAGCCTTGCTCTTTGTGGCTCTGGATTTCCCTTTGCTCTGGAAAAACTTGCTCTCAACCTTGCCGCCTCCGTCTTCCTCTTGTGTCCCCTCCTGCTCCTTCAGCGCCTGGACCTCTTCCTTTGTATCGCTGACCGTCGCCTTGCCCGTCTTGCGCTGAACGCTGGGCACGACACAGCTGGTGCGGCCACCGACGGTGATAAAGACAATCTTTTCGCCTGTAGGCAGTGCCGTCGGGTGATCCTTTTTACCCTTGCCCCAACGGTGCTGGAACAGCCAGTCGGCGGGGAAACGGTCCGAATCGCCCAAGACGCCGACGGCCGTATCGCAGACGTACGTGGCGGCCTTGTACAGTTTGGCAATGTCCTCGTCGCTGAAATCGTCGCTGTACTGCTCTGGGTGGAGTTTGGCTTGGTACATGATCTCGTCGCCGACCCAGTTGCCAATGCCCGAGATCATGGCCTGATCGAGCAGCAGCGCCTTGACGGGGACGTGGCGGCTCCGCATCTTGGTCCGCAGGTATTCCTCGGTGAAGACGTCGCGGTCGACGACGGGGTCCGGGCCATTCTCCACGAGCGGCGAGTGGCTCCGAATGTCTGCGCCGGGGCAGTCGACGAGGCGGATGCGGCCAAAGCGGCGGGCGTCTGTAAAGGCAACCTCGGTCTTGTCGTCCTCGCCTTTCCCCTCCGTCTCGAGCTGGAACTTCCAGAACCGTGGCGGCCAGACTTCAGCCTCCCCTTTGGTCCGCTCTGCGTAGCGCGTGTAGGCCGTCTGCTGGCCGCGAATGTGCACCCAGCCCGTCATGCCCAGGTGCATGACCGGATGCGGCGGCTTGTCGAGTTGCAGCCAAAAGTATTTGCCCTGGCTCCCGGCGCCGACCACCTTGCGGCCAGCGAGAGCCTTTTCGAAAGCCGGCCCGCTCGTGCCAACCTTGCCAAAAACATTTGTATCATCCGGGGCCGTCACTTTTTTGATCTTCTTCCCGACCAGGTGTTGGCGGAGATAGTGGGTGACCCTCGCGACTATATGTCGAAAGAAAAGTGAAGAGGTCAGCTTCGGGTCTTGGAGATTTTTATCACGACTTGTGATTTCATACTACATCAATATCGAAACATGGAACTTAAACTGCAACACTAACCTTCAGCGATTTCAGGCATAATGTTTTGATGAGAAAGAAGACCGATACTTGAGATTGGTACAGATGACGCAGCGAGACCCGAAGCTGTCACTCAATCACCTTCACAAGAAACAACCAGTGAAATGTATGACGCAAAAGAGGAGCTCAAGGGAGCGGGTATCGTTTTATACAGACTTGCTCGATTATCAACCAAGAAAGAAGATGCAGCTCGTTGCTCTCATGAATTTGAACAAAAAAAATCATAAACACGAAATCGCCATGAAAATGCCTGATGAGACGACGCGCGCCCTTTCATGACGCATCCAATCAGCCCGGGGGTCGTGTCTAGTACATCTATCTAACTGAGTGGTCATAGCGTCCGTCTCCTGTCTAAACCCCGAGACTTTTCTGCCCAGGCAGGCTTAGGCCTGTCTGGTACCGAAAGCTTATCCCCTGTAGTCTATGAAAACCCCCCCCGGGGGGGGGGGGGGATCAGTTCCTCCCGGGTTTTGTTCTTTGGGGGCGGACTTTTTTTTTTGCCTTGCAAATCCACATTCTACCTGATTCAACACACCAAAAAACCACCCCCATATTCTCAAAGTGCCCACATAGTAGTATTACTACCTACCCTCATTAATGAGCCTTATAATGCCTGTCTGATCGATTAGTACCAACCCCCGTTGTTAGCTATACACCGTAGGCTATACTCTTAGTCATCACAAGATACGACCACAACCTTCATAGCCCCTCGTCTTCCCCTTCTCCAAAGCTGCTACGAAATTTGTCATCATTGTCGTACGACCTATCTAGCTAGTCTTGTTCATGTAGGTTAGGTGGCCACATCACCACTTGAAGCGATCCAAAGGAGCACAACATAGTAAGCTGATACCCACCTCACCACCCATGGACCTGCGAACATGTAGTCGCTCGCCTCGGTAATAACAGTATTTATATCTTACCCTTTTTGGGAGTCTTGTATAGAACTATTCTGATTCCAACACCAGGCTTGTTCTCAGGAAGGAAAATATAAATAACATAGCCTAAAGCAAACCCCC